AAAAAAAAAAGGAAGAAGAAGATAGCAGGAGGGGAAGAATGAAGGGGAGGAAGTCGGAGGGGGAGATGACCCATGAGAGACGATGGACTCTGAAAAACAAGCTGAGGGTTCTAGAGGGGAGGGGGGTGGGGGGATGGGTTAGCCTGGGGATGGGTATTAAAGAGGGCACGCTCTGCGTGGAGCACTGGGTGATATGCACAAACAATGAATCGTGGAACACTACATCAAAAACTAATGATGTAATGTATGGTGATTAACATAACAATAAAAATTTAAAGAAGAAAGAAAAAAAAAAACTCCTTCCTGTCATGGTGGAACTTCCATACCAGTAAACCCGCTATGCCCTTCTAGTGTCCACCTCTGAACCACTGCACATTTTCCAAATAGTTTACCATAACTACAAGTATGGTTTAGAAATACAGAATAATTTCCTTGTGCCCCTGCAACTAAAACAAACGCACAAAACCAACCTGCGACCCTGGGCTCCCAAGGACCATGCAGACTAACAAGACAGACCGACCCACTCAGACTGAGGTGACAGCAATGTCTCACTCAGGGTCAGAAATACCAAAATCCAGCACCTATCCTTCCCAACTGACCGAATTACATGTTATTTATCTTCTACCTTCTGGAACACTGCAAAAAATGGGAAGCTATTTAGATTTGGCTCTAGAAATCTAAAAGCCTAAAAATCAAACCAGATTTTGGTCCTAAAAGTCAACTAGAAATATTTACCTCACATTCTCAATAAGCTGGAAGGAAAAACAAAAGCAACATCTACCTGATAGGTCGACCAAAGACTTTTGTATTTTCTTCACACCGTCTCAGCCCTTCTTCGTTTATGGAGAGAACCTGTGTGTAAAATGGCCATAAAAAGCCCATGATTAGTCTAAGTAACGCCACTGTGTCAAGCTATGAAACAAAGAGACAGTAATAAAGCCCACTGAGTGGGGAGGGGAGCCTGACGCAGGGCTCGATCCCAGGACCCTGGGATCATGACCTGAGCCGAAGGCAGACGCTTAACCGACTGAGCCACCCAGGCGCCCGTTTGTTTGGTTTTTAATTTAAGCACACTCTTCTCTTCATAACTGCCCACGCTGTGGAGGCCGAAGTGGAAGGGGAACCGGGAGGAGGCATTTATAACCGTCCAGATAGGAGATGTGAAGACCTGCGAGTAAGGAAGTGCCGGGAAAAGAATGCCCTGAAGCGGTCTGACCCGAGAGACAGCTCAAAAGGAGAGTGGGGGGCGGGAGGGGGGACCATGGCAATGAAACAAGAAGACCCCAAATCGGTCCCCACAAAGTCATCTTGAGTGGCTATACAGATTTTTTTGTTGATGCTTCCCTGTGAAAAACATTTTTATAATTTCCGTGCCCTCTTTTGAAATTTTAAAAATATATTAATAGATTGGCCTAATTACAAAAGCACTGCATGCTTGCTCTAATAGCTGTAAGATCACCACCCTGCTGGCAAAGAAGGGGGCAGCGACCTCCGCAGGAAGCACTTACGTATCGCAGCAGAGCCTCCTCCCCGAGGGCCCTCACCAAGCCCTTGGTGTCCATCTGCCCCAGCCTGAGAACGTATAGTGGCCGCCCGTCTGCAGGAGGGGAAGCAAAGGTATAATCAGCACCACTCCTGATGAGAAGCTGACAGTACAACTCTAGGAACCTTAACAAGGAGCGTGCTTTCCCACTTAGAAGCTGCAGCTGGCTGTGTGTACAGGAGATTCATTCCCCCCAACCACTGCCCCTCTGCCCAGGATGAGAGGCACCAAGTGCAACTCCACCTCTCTCTCATCTGGCTCCAACCACCGTCACCGACCGGGGCCATTGCTAGGCTCGGCCTCCTCACTTTAACAACCAGGGGGTTGAGCAGAGCTGACTTTCAAGCCGGGGGACCTCAGAAGATCCAGAGACACATTTTCTGTGAATATGGAGTATTTTAAAATTTTGTATCTTAGAGAAAACAATTTTTTTTTTCATTTCATGAGTTATCAGTAAGTTAACGTCTAGATTTTTTTTAAAAAGCCAGCTTCCCTTGATTCCCATCCAAAGGATCAGAATAAATGAGTCCTTCCAGGAAATTTTTAAACCCATACCAACCAGCACACCTTGGCTCTACATGTTTACACCCCGAAGGTCTAATGGATGAAACCTGAGAGGAGTCTCATTCACTATACAAACGCCCTGTCATCACAGGCCAGCTACATAAATGGGAAAAGATCTCGATGGCCACAGCATCCCCGAGTCAGCAGATTCTCCAGAATCTGGGCTCCTGACACTTGGGGTCACAGGGGAGCAGCAGAAAGGACAGGAACGGAAGCTGCTGCTGACAAGCAACTAAGCCTTGTCTTCTGTTAACGGAGGGTCAGTCCTGTCATCCTGACAAAGTCCAAATTCTCCTTGTATTTATCACCCGGTCTGAACTAGATCAGTGTTCTACTTAAAACAAGAATGTCTTTATGCTCCCAAATCTTGTTGAAAGGAAGATTTATGAAAAGTGTCTCCTGACATTTATAAGACACATTTGTTAATATTTCACTACCAAACTTTAATCTTTGAAAGGTGGGAAAGTAGAATAAATATATGTTGCTAGCAAAAACGAACAGAGCTACAATTAGTCTGGAAAAGTACAAAAGATGCAGTCCAGAAAACAGACAAATCCGAGCTGTCCCATTCTGGGAGAATCTGCTTGGAGGGGGAGGGAGCCCACGGCCATCCCTGTGCCTGCTCCACATCCACGGTTCCGTTCTGTCCACTGTCCAACTCCAAACCAGGAAATACCGAGCATGCCTCTGGCAATGCCCGCTTTCCTGCAGGGCGTGCCTTGGACGCAATCCGAGAGAACCCTGCTCACTCAGCTTACCCTTCGTTTTACGCTATCACTTCCTTGGCTTATGTTTTGCTTCCTGCCCAAAACAGAGCTGAAGTTCTTCACTGTTTCGATGTAGAAAACCTGGCTACATATGGTTACAGATCTTGTAGGGATTTAAGTTATTAAAAGTTCCTTTACTAGCACTGTGCTCCTGAAAACACTGCCCTCAAACTTGCGGGTTTTTTAAGTAAGTCGAAACAAAGTCTTTGTGACTAAGAAAGGAGGTGAAGAAACTTGGTGGCCAAGGGGCCATGAGCCGAGAGGAGGAGCAGACAGCCCGCACCTGCTGCTCTATGGGGGACCTCAGGGGGCTTCCGAGTGGGCAGGGTGGTGTGGGGCTGGCCGTGATGAATGGGCGCCACCCTGGGAGAGGGAGGGCCCAGGCATTCACGGGTCCCTTCAACTCTGCACAACGTGGCCTTGAAGCATGTCCGGGATGCCCAGCCCACCTTTGTCATGATGGTGCCAGCCTCCCGCGTAGTAGTCCTGAAGGACCTGGGGAGGGCTCCAGGTCTCAAGAATGTAGTCCACCTGGTGCTGCTTTCGCCAAGTCAAAGACTGACACATGATCTCTCTGGCTTTGTCGATATTGAAGTCCCGGGCGCGTAAGAACCGAAGAATATGCTCATCTTTTGGGATCTATTCAGAGAAAAAGAAGTTTCTAAGCAGTGTTAAAAGTTGCTAAGGGAAAAAAAAACCAAGTTACTAAGGGAATAAAACTCTAAAACTGTCACTTCTCATCCAGAGGGAGCTGCATTTTTGCACTATTTAAAATTAGCCGTTACTAAAAAAACCTTCCTCAATGCTTTAGAAAACTGGTATCATTAATCTGAATAATCTTTATAGTATTCCATTTTAGTTTCAGCCAAGTAGAGCAAAGGCATAAAGAATTTGTTAAACATCAGATGCTTCAATTCACTGGACTGATTTATGATTATGATCTGGGTGCACTTTTCTATATTACACCAGAACAAAAGTTCGAATACAGAAGTGTTGTTGGTTTTGGTGGCGGCGGGGGGCTTCCTAACACACACCTCCTCTAAAGTCTGCTATCGGATACGTCGACTTCTCTGAGTGAAAAAGAAGTCTCATCTGGCCTGGCCGTCTTCCTCTGTGGCCATGCGCTCACTGATGCACGCCGCTGGTCCACAGGGGACAGGAAGGCGGCGGGTGGGGAGCCTGCCAACAACGCCACTGCCGGGAGAGCAACTCAAGGCACTCAGAGGGTGTCGCTGCCGCTCAGAAAGGATGTGGGTGCCGGAAGCAAAGGGCCTGGCTTCAAATCCTCACCCCAGCACTCACTCGCTGGAAGGCCTCAGGCAAGTGACCTCACTGCTCTGCGCCTCAGTTCCCTCACATGATAAAAACACCACCTCAGAGGGCTGCTGGAGGACCTCATAAAGACCCTAAGAGCGTCTAGTACACAGTGTATGCACAACAAATGACAGCCATCACTACAATGGTTGTGCTCCCGACAAGTGACACTGAACAGTCCTCAGGATGTGGCTCTAGTAACGCAGGTGGACAGAGTTCTAGAGCAGGCCGGCTCCATGCAACCCCGGCTTCCCTTTACTGAGTGGTGCCAGTACCCAGCTGGACACGCCAACCTGCCTGTGCTCACCACTCGCCCCCCATCAGTATGAGGCTTAGTATGAGAAAAACGGGATTCCTTAACAAGGCTAAAATTCTACCAAAAACCTCAAAATGAAAGCTCAAACACTGTTGGTCTTGGAATAATCTGTGGACTCCTTCCAAAGCTTCTGATAATTAAAATGTCTGAATACTTGGGGGGGCCTAGGTGGCTCAGTCAGTTGAGCATCTGACTCTTGGGTTCAGCTCAGGTTGTGACCTCAGGGTCATGGGATCGAGCCCCGCACGGACCTCCTGGCGCAGCAGGGAGTCTGCTGGATACTCTCTCCCTCTTCGCCCTCTACCCCTGCCCCTGCTCTATCTAAAATAAATAAATAAATACATATTTTTTAAAAAGTCTGAATACTTGGAATATAATATTGCTTTGTAGCTTGACCTGTAATTGTTTTTACGGGAGACCCTCCTCTGGTAAACCGAGAAAAGCACAGCTGCTCGTACACAGAAGGGCATCATGACTCTCCACGAGGGACTCAGATGCCACACCCAGAGATACAGAGCCAGTGATGCTGGGGCTGAGAGGGACGTCCCCAGCTATGGCGATCGGGAACATGTACTCTGAGTAACTACGAACGGGACCAGGGTCCACAGCTCCACAGACAGCACGCCTGTACATGGGTGCCGGTTCTCACTTTGCCCTTGTGGGTCTCCTGGAGCCACTGGCGAAGCCGGATCAGGCAGCTCTCCTGTAGCGGGGTCAAGTCACCCAGGTATCTCTTGATGTAGTCCGCATCTAGTTTGTCTGGAATGTAAGTTACATGACGACATTTACACAAAGAACACTGGGAACGAGAAGGCTTCCAAAGTCATCCTGCTCAGTAATGTTAAGTGTGGTCCCCAAGTCACAGAACTCAATGACACCCCAGGGACAGCAGAGCTAAGCTGGCCCCCTCGAGACCCTCAGTGATAGTCTGTAAGAGCTAATCACTGACCAGGCCCTAGGCCAGGCTACTGATTCAATCAGTTATATTCCCTGATCACCCTGTGGTCAACTCTATTTGCAAAGTCTTAATAGTAGTCACGGCAGAAGAAAATCTGTAACAGATATTGAGAGATTATTTTAATTCAAACTTAAACAGGACCTACATAAGACTATGAAATAAAACAAGTATGTGGACTTAAACCTATTCTGAATAGAGCTACTGTACTCAAGAATATAAGAAATCTTCTTCGTGATGGGGTACCATAAATACAGCAAACATTCACGAGATGGAAAAATAAAACGTGTCCCCAAACCAATTAAAACACCTGTCACCTGCTGCCTACTGCACGGCAAATGGATGGCACAGTTTAGCTGCAGAGAAGAAAGTGTGGAAAGAGAGACAGCAATACTTTAACAAAACTTGTGAGTGGTAGAATCTTCTTGTGTGGTTTTACAATGGGCATCACTCTGAGAAATAAGAGGTGCGCGTGCGCATGTGTGTGCGCGTGCACAACGCACATGAAAGGTAGCACAGCACAGTGGCTACGTGCAGACCCTGGCGCCAGCCGCCCTAGCTCCGTCCCAGCGCCACCATCTGCCACTGGGACTCCAGGCAAGTTACTCAGCTCCTGTGGGCCTCAGTTCTCTCATACATAAAATGAGGGTAATAAGCACTTCGTACCAAGAAGCAACCACTGTTAAGTGAGTAAATAAATACTCATTAAGTGCTTACAACAGGGCCTAGCACAGAGTGAGTATAAAGTGTTTGATGGTGACACAACTGTGTTAAAACGGTTAGTTGCTACCTTTCATTCACTAAAGATGCCTTCAATTAAAATAAATGAAACACATTTCCTGGTTTTAAGAAAAGAGTAACTTGATATAACCCTTCCTGCCCATTAAAAAAACTAAATGCTTCCTCATTCTAAGAAAAAACGTGGAAAAGGGACAGTAACAAAATTATCTCCACGTGTCCTCAGGACACAAGAATGGGTGGAGGAAGCAGAGGGGAAAGGACTCCTTGGAGGCCCCAGCCTTGCTCGTGGGACGACCCTCTTTCCAACCCACCGTCAGGGGTCCCCGCCACGGGCTCAGGTGGCCCGCTGGGGCTGCTGAGGGCCTCACTGCCCAGCCCCTCCGCCTGGGCAGCATCTGGAACCACAAGAGCCAAGGATGCTGCCTGTTTCTTGCACAATGAGGAGGTCTCTGAGGACGGAGCAATGGAAGGCGGAGTCCAGCGGGGCACGAACGTTATGCCTTCTTCTTCCAACTGACGAAGATAGTATTCAATTATTTCTTTTCCCTTTAAAACAAAACCAATTTTAAGGTTAGTATATATTCAACATTCAAATTATTCATCTCCCACAGGTCTTTAAAACACTAATAAAAACTGGATTGCTACAGAATAAATCTATAAAAAAGTGAAATGCCTTTGTGTTTCTGTTTTTCATAATTATTTTACTTCCTCTTCTCCAATGGTCTAGGAAATAATATCTAAAGAGATGGAATTTTTTTTATGACTACTTAAAAGCACTGATTCATCACACTTGTCTCAATCCAAATTCTTTCTAACACCCTGAAATAAAACAAGCCTTCAAAAAGCACTTAGAATCCAACATGGATACACTTCACAACCATATTCCACACCAACACTGAGCAGCAGTATAAAAATGAGAAGGAAAGTGGAGCGCTTGGGGGGGCACAGTCAGTTAAGCGTCCGATTCTTGATTTCAGCTCAGGTCATGATGTCAGGGTTGTGAGATCGAGCCCCACATCAGGCTTCGCACTCAGCAGAGAGTCTGCTTAAGATTCTCCTTCGCCCTCTGTGTCTTCCCACTGCGCTCATGCACTCTCTCTCTCTCCCCCTCCCTCTCAAATAAATCTTAAAAAAAAAAAAAAATGAGAAGGAAAGTTTTTCCACGGAAGGTGAACCTAATAATCCAAGGCCTGGATCCCCAAGGGGTCCCCGGCAAGCGCTTCCTCATGCGGCACCTCCTGCCCACAGACCCTGAGGTGGCAGCTGGGGGCACTGTAAGCCAGCTTGCTCCTGCCTCACCCCCCCCGCCCCCCAACCCCAATCTTCCAGTGATTCTAAGCAGAGGGCGTCCTGGCCAGTGGCTACATGCTCCTCCTCACCTCCACCAGCCACCAGCATCATCTGAACCCCCATCCAACCCTACACCTCCCTGGAACACAAGGCTTGGGGAAAAGCCAAAGTATTTCCTTGTCTTGAAATGGCTGGGCTCCCTGACTAGCCCATTTCCAGCCTCCTGAAAACACTGCCAGCACCTCAGAGGCTCCTGCCTTCCGGTTTCCATAAAATCCCAAGCTAGACTCACTTTTTTAATGTTGCTGGTATATTGTTTCATTGCAATTTTTTCCACTGTACTTTCAAAACCAAAGAAAGATTTAATATCTAAACTTGCAGACTGTTCAAAACAAGTCCAATCTTCATTTTCAGGGTGAACCTGTAGGTAAATGAGAAATCATTCCCATTAACTATGCTGACAACTAACAAGGTCATTTGCTCCTCAATCAAGTGGTAACCAAAAGAAAACATTTTATTTGACTAATAATATTATCATGAAAGCACCAGATGGAAAAATTACACAGAGACGTTCAAAATCATGAAAAGACCTAAATAATATTTCTAAAATAGTCTAAAAAAAAATTCTAAAAATGACTGTGAAAAGGAGAGCTTCATTTTCATTCTTGGTTCATTTGTTCATCACATTTATTGAGCAGTGTTCTCCATCATAAACAAAACGAAGATCCCTGCCTCATGAAGCTTACAGTCTGAAGGGGGAGAATGGCAATTAGCCATGAACATCAGAGGTAAGAAATTCTATTGTTGTTGGAAGACAAGTGCCAAGGGAGAAAGGAACGGTGGACCAGGTTAAAAGGACGAGGGTTGGGGGCAGGGGCGTGGCGGGGAGGAAGCAGAATTAAATAGGGTGTTCAAACAGGCTTCATCCAGAAGGGCAGACATGAGCATAGACTGAAGGAGGTGAGGGCAGGCAGAGGGTGCACCTGGAGCACAGGTCCTCAGGGGAAGCACGCCTACGTGATCAGGAACAGCAAGATGGTGCGTAGGCTTGTGCACAGGGAAGGCAGGAGCAGATGTGTGATGAAGAGAAAATGCAAGGCCCTGTAAGCCACTGGAAGGCCTCTGGGCTCCTTCTCTGAGTGAAATGCAGTACAACTGCAGAAAGTATGACATGAGCTGATATACTTTAAAAGGATCATTTTGGATTCAGCACTGAGGATATGTTGCAGGAAGGTAAGGGAAAAGCAAAGAGACCCTATTAGATTCTTCTAATAATCTGGTAACAGAAGCTATGGAAGATGGTGTGGCAGATAAAAGCACTCAGCCTGATCTCAGAGGTATGCATTACAGGTATCTCCCCTCCCTTCCCAAAGTCTGTATTCCACCACTCCACCCCTTCGTTTTTACGAAAGATCTACATTTGTACCTGGTTTTGATAACCAAAAGAAATCCAAAGAGGATTTCCGCTTTTAGGAAAAAGGGCAAAAAGCGAAAATAGCATTCACCATTTGTTTTGCCAAAGCTGTTACAGAGGCAGCTCGTACCCCAAGCCCAGCCCTGAGAGTGCCACCAAGCCCCCTGCCAGAGAGCCATACTCAGCATCTCAGCATCAGGACTCCAGAGCCTAGAACTGTGTCTGTGAGCACCTGGGCTTTATCTGCATTTATTTTGTGCATCTGTTAGCAAGATGTGTCCTAAGGTCTCAGAAAAGCTTAAAGAGGTTATTTTTTGAGTATAGGAATGCTAAAAAAAATTTCCATATAAATTCATGGTAATTTGCTGTTTCGCTTTGCCCCATTTCGGCTTACAAAAGAGTTCACAGAAACACTCTACTTTCAGAGAGTGGAGGAAAACTGTATCTTGGGTCCGTCCATATATACTTCTAAAGTGTTAGAGTGGCGCCAGAGATGAAGGGGCATATAAGGTAACATTTAAAGGCAAATCAAGGGGCACTTGGGTGGCTCAGTCGTTAAGCATCTGCCTTCAGCTCAGGTCATGACCCCAGGGTCCTGGGATCGAGCCCTGCATCGGGCTCCCTGCTCAGCAGGGAGTCTGCTTCTCCCTGTCCCTTTGCCCCTGCTTGTGTTCCCTCTCACGCTGTTTCTCTCCCTCTCAAATAAATAAAACCTTTTAAAAAAAACAATAAATAAATAAAGACAAATCAAGGCATCACCTAGGCTCCCTTAACTGCTACGACAACGTAACCCATTCTGCAGTAAACCACACCTGCCACCTTGCAAATCCCACCAATGAGAAATGAGTGACCATATGTGCTGAAGAGCTGCCCTCTGAGATAAGGCAGTGGACTGTGTAAAGCGGTGGCCAAGCAACCCCCCACAGCACACGGCAGCCCACACTCACGTCCTTCCCCAAATGCTGGGCACTCACGGTGTAGCAGCAGTGCTCAGTGATGATGACCCGATTAGAAAAGGTTTCATTGTGGGCCTCAATGTGCAAAGTACGTTCCCGAGAATTCAGTGAGTTTTTCTGGACAAAATAAACATAATCAACTCCTGCAATCTTTAGAAAACAAAATAAAGAGAAAAAGGGCTTATTAATAATACCAAATGCAACAGAAGCTGTGAACGTAACTTCATCTAGTTTGGGGATGGTCTTTCTAAGGTGTCCCCACAGGTACCTTTTTCAGCAGCCTTGGTGCGTCTATGTCCAGCTTACAGCGCCTTTCTATAACGTGAATAGCCCCGTCTTCGCTCTTGAACTCATTCACAGTGTCACTGTCCACAAACATCGGAATCAAAGGACATGTAGGAAACCTCCTTTCATAGGCCTACAAAAAATTTTTTTTTAAAAAGTAATTGAACAAAGATGCAATCTGACAGTTTGTCATTGATAGTCTCCCTGGAAAAAAAGCATCTCTTAACACATGTCAACATGTTACATCAGAGTCATCTTTCTCTTTACATCATAAGATTTCATTAAAAAAGAAAAAGACATTCTATGTTCATGGATTAGAAGACTCAGCGTGGTAAAGATGTCAACTCTTCCCATATGGATATAGAGGTTTAACATAATTCCTACAAAATGCCAGCAAGGCTTATTTTGTTTAAGCTACAGACAAGATTATTTTAAAATTGATATGGAAAGGCAGAAGAACAGAAATAGCTACAACAATTTTGAAAAAGAAGACTACATTGGGAGGAATCACTCTACATGGTATGGTATTAGCAGGGACTACACACCTACAGTAATCCAGGCTAATGGTACTGGCAGAGGGACAGACACAGAGGTCAGTGGACAGATTAGAGAGCTGTAAATTGACCCACACAAATATGCCCAACTGATTTTTGACAAAGGTGCAAAAGCAATTCAATAGAAGAAGTATAGCCTTTTTTTCAAAAAATATTACTGGAGAAATTGCACACCGACAGGCAAAAAAAAATGGAGCTCAACCTGAACCACACACCTTATATAAAAATTAACTCAAAATGGATCAAGGACTTCACCATTTTTGTAACCTTCTTGAAGTGACACCACTATAGGTGCGCCTGGGGGGCTCAGTCAGTTGAGCATCCAGCTCTTGGTTTCAGTTCAGGTCATGATCTCAGGGTCATGGGATTGAGCCCTGTGTTGGGTTCCACACTCAGCACAGAGTCTGCTTGAGATTCTCTCTCTCCCTCTGCCCCTCCCCCCAAAATAAATGAATAAACTCTTTAAAAAAAAGAAAGAAATGACACCACTATAGAAATGCAGAACAGATTAGTGGTTGCTGTGGGGTAAGGGCAGGGGGGATGTGGGTGTGACTGTAACAGGGTAACAAAGAAAGATACTTGGAAAATGTTCTGTATCTTCACTGCATCAACATCAATATCCTGGTTCCGATGATGTTACTACAGTTTCCCAAATGCCACAATTGGGGGAAAATGGTTAAAGAGCACATGGCCTCTCTCCATATTATTCCTTGTGAATAAAGTATTATTAATAAATCATGAATCTTCAATAATCTCAAAATAAAAAACTGAATTAAAAAAAATTTTCACTTGCTATATATAATTCATCCAAACTTTTAGAAGATGCACTCAGGCACCTGAGTTTGCTGTGTAGTGTGTGGTGGTCCTTGAAGACAACTTTGCTGAAGCCCTTGCTACATTCACACTAAAACCTAAGCTACCTTAGCAGCTCACAGGGGTGCGTGAGCAGGAAACCATGGGACTCGGGATGACAAGTCCTGGGCTGTAAGAAGGGGCATAAAAAAGAAGCCCAGGGCTGGGCTCAGCAGTTCACTGAACTGATGCTCCTAACAAAGTGACAGACATCACTCCTCCATCGGGTTGTCCTAAAAATGGAGCGGGGGGGCTGACTTCCTACCTTAATCACAACCAAGCACCGATTTAAGAAGAAATGTATGGTGTTAAAAAGATGAAATGAAAATCTGAAAGCAACATAGACTGCTCTGATTTTACCTCTAACAAGGAGCGAGTGGTTTTGGGGCACCACCATACTAAAAACACCACCTTCCGTGGAGAAGTTTCCTGACGTTCCCCGTGAACAGGTGTGAAGTCTGAACAGAAGTGATACTCCGATCACAAGAGCCGCACTGAAAACCCACTACAGCACCAGAGCCACCTATTAATCCCTCCACCTGGTTTTCATCAATCCCGTTCCAAAGCGATGCTCGAGTCTCTGGTACATATCTTACCTCCTCACCATAACACCGCAGGGTTACACCAATCTGAACACTCCGGGCTGTGCTCCTGCCATCTACATGTTTACAGGATCCCACGCTAGGGAATGCGGGAGGGAGGGGAAATGAAGCAAACAGTTCAGGAAAGGGAGTCAGGGTAATATGAAAGCATACTAAGAATACGCAAGGTATAAAGGCTTGAGGAGAAAGAACACCCTCAGCTTTGGAGAGCTGGTGGTTTGGGAAGGCTTCATGAAAGAGGAAGCACTGACACGGCCTCAAAGTGGGAAAGTCTGTCTGTCGTCAGCAAGGAGGGGAGAGATTTCCAGGAAAGAGAACCCAAGAACGCAGCCTAAGGAAACAGGCACCCAAAGCTGGCAGAGGCGAGGGAAGGGGACTGTGACAAGGCAGGTCTCCACTGAGGACTGACCGCATGGCCAGGCCCTGCAGGCACAGTGCTGGCCGCCCTGGAACTGACCTCCTCCACAGCAGATGAAGAAGGAGGGAACTCTACCATGTGACCAGAGTCGCCTTTTCAGAAAATTAATGACAGTCTTGCACAGGGCATCTGGAAAGGAGGCAAAATTTACATGACCACCAGTTATATTTGCTTTTTAAAATGTTTTTACTTTGGGAGTCAAAAACATATTCTTCATATTTATCTACTCCCCTCCTCCACTCAAATATATTCTGAATCCCATTACTGCTATAATCTTGATAAATCACACAATATTTGTCTCTTAATGCATTTTAAATAAATAACATTTAAGAAGTTTATCCAACTGCTCAGACAATACCACAGATAAGTCTCAAGGAGGCCCTAAAATTTGTATTAAGCACTACATACATGAACAATTCTAGAAAAAAATTTGCTATCATTTGTTCTACAGATACTGAAAACCATCTAAACTAACTTCTAAATTGTAACACATTAAAACAAACAAACAAAAAACCAAAACCTGGCTTTGTACATTCCAGCACTATGACATACCAAAAAACTGAGAACACTAGGGCTTCAAACAAAACAATTCTTTTTAGGTTACATAAAGGGTAAAGCAAGTACTCACCAAGAAAAAATGTAAGCTAGGGTCTCTCCTATTGAAGGACGTATTAGATCATTTTCAACATACCCACAACATCTTTTAAACCCTTGAAATAGAGTGGTCAGCACAGGGCATTTCCCACACAGCCTAGCCTTTAATTCAAAACACAGTACAAACTTTCCACTCCCTGTAAAGTCATCCAGCCGGGTAGACACCTGTACACACTCACTTATACCTTGGCCAGGTGGCATTTCAAGGACCCAGGCTAGGAAGCATCTACCTTCCTCCCTCCACGGGCTGGTCTGCATCCATCACCCTGCCCCAGACGCGTTACTGAGCCACAGCGCAGACACCAAGTCCCATTTTTCTTCACATTGCCTAAAACAATGTCACTGTTCAATAAACATTCTTTGAATTATGGAATAAAACCTTACTAAATAAACCAATGAATCCAGCTTTTTGTTTCTGTGCTCACTTACCTGGGCCAATCTTTCAGAAATATATAAGGTTAATGAATTCTGCATCCTTTTAGCACAGAAAACCCTAAATTTCTAGAGGGTTGTGGAAAAGGAAAACTGCAGAAAGCTTTAGTCTCTGAAACTGCTTACAGATACCAGATCCCGGGTTTTCAGCACAAACTACAATCTATAAAGTTGCTACAAAAATAGAGGCATTCTAGTTTTATCCAAAGGAAGAGCCTAGAAGCAATGACATATCAGCAGTCACAAGAAACTTGGCGTCTAGATCCCGGTTTCTAAATACCATTCCCTACCACAAAGGAATGCGTGCACTGTGAAGAAGTGGCTGATCACAGGTCTGAAGGAAAGAAAGGTCAAGGTGAATCTGAAGTACTTATCAGAAATCTGAGGATGTGCTCAGTGACTGATGGGGACATGTCAAAAGGACACAGAGACTGGCCTGAAGGGGTTCCCCTCCCCAACTCTGGGGTCATTTGAGCACCAGAAAGAGAAAAGACAGTAAAGCTTTATAAGCCAGAGTGATACTCAAGAAAAATGGAGGGGAGGAAATCTTACAGGAAAATGTCACCTACAAACCACAAGAGTGAACGATACAATTAGAGAATCCCAGTAGTGCAAGCACTAATCCTCAGTTACGGGTTCAGACAAGGACCACCAACGGGCACTGCTGAGGGGGGCTGTTGGATGAGGTAACACAGTCTCACACTATTGTCCTGCAGCTTACCATTACCAGGGGACAGAGGTGCCTTTACGTTGGAAAGATCTAGTAGATTATCACCTGGACCAAACAATTCAACTCAGGACCAACAACGGGACAGCCTGACAAGCTGATGGGATACAATGGAGGCACACACAGCCTACGCAGTCCTCACAACAAAATGGTGAGCCTGGGGCTCATCATGAGGAAACAATCAGATAGGTCCAAGTTACAGAACATTGTACAAAACCATCAGCCTGGACCCTTAAAAATAAGTGAAAAATGCTAGTGTCTTGAAAGATGAACAGAAAATGCAGAGACCAATCAGAATAAAGGCAATTAAAGAGACAGGACCATCAAATGCACTGGCTTTTTGATTGGAATAATAACAGCTATACAGAATATTTAAGGAAATGTGACCATGCATCACACATTAAATAATACCCTTCTGTCAGTGTTAAATTTCTTGGGTATGATAATGATGACCGTTAAGTAGAATTTCTCTTCTTAGGCAATACATCCGTACTTAGGGCAAAAGTGTTAAGATATACACAGCTTACTTTCAAACGGTGCTGCAAAATACATGCCATGTGTATGTGTGTGTGAGTGTATATGTAAGAAGGCAAGCAAATGTGCTCATTTATCTAAGTGGAACTGTATACAGGTATTCACTATACTTCGTCAATTTTTTTATTTAATTTTATTATTTTTTAAATATTTTATTTATTTATTTGAGAGAGAGAGAGAGAGAGAGCAAGTGAGCACAAGCAGGGGGGAAGAGGGAAAAGCAGGCTCCCCACCGAGCAGGGAGGCGGATGTGGGGCTCAATCCCAGGACCGAGATCGAGAGCTGAGCTGAAGGCAGACGCTCAACCAACTGAGCCACGCAGGCGCCCCACTTCCTCAATTTTTTTAAAAATGGAAATTTCTCAAAAGTTGGGGAAAATATTAATAGAAGAAGGTAACTTTGGCGGGGGGGGAGGGTCATATGGAAACTAGCAGCGCTTTTGCACATAACTGACTGAATATGACACTGTCCTATTTTATACCTGAAAATGTACAAGCTTGAGGTTTGCCCCGGCCTCAGCCCAAGGTGAAAGGCTGGATGTGCAGTCCACCAGGGCCCTGTGCCCCTGTACAGGCGCCCCCTGCGCAGTCCTGCCACCATAGCTCCGAGGAGATGCAGGTCCAGAGAGCTCCAGCTTCTGGTTGTTCAAGAGAAAACAGCAATCTGAATTTCTGTGTGAAGTTTCCCTATTTTTAAAACCTTGTATGGGCCAATGAGCCCACATAAGCAGACCTGCGAGTCTTCTCTCTGCACAAAAAAGTCTCTCCAGGAGAACTGAGCAAGAACCCAGGCTAAAGCTCACATTGGGTTCAAATCACCACCTCAGGAGAGCTGCAGGAATTTCCAAATGTCTTCCTTTTTTAACTATCTGCAGTACTATCAAGTCACTTCCTAATCACACTCAGAATTTATCAAACACAAAAATCAAGAAAGGCTGAACAAAATGAACTCTTCCAGAAGGAACTTCTCCAGAGACAGAGAAATGTTCTTCGATGTCTCTTAAAAGGAAAGGTTGCTTTCGCAAGAGAAATAACTATTATAATCATTTGTTCACTCTTTTTGTTTAACATAGCAACTGTTTCAACAATAAAAACAAAACCAGGGCCTGATCCATTTGCCCCGGGGTGGGGGGGGGGAAGCTGCCTTCTGGGTAACTTAGCTTCCTCCTACCTTCCTACACCCACTCTTCCTCTTTCAAATGGGATTTCTGAGACTGTAATTTGGGAGCCTGGCAACAGTACTTTCAGTTTTTAACCAATCTCGGAATGCAATTTTGGGACGTTAGAAGCTTGTACTGTGCTAAAGAAAACCATACTTTAGTGAAGACATTTCAGCTTGAGAATTAATGAGCTTAACAGTGCATTCTGCCGGGAAAACCCATTTAAGAGAAATTCCATTTAAACAATCTACCTTTAAACTGAACTACGTTCATACACAATTTAGCCAACGAACTAAGCCAGCTGCTTTCCGTGGAACAACCTGGATATTCTATGGCACTGGACATGACCATCAAACTCAGACACAGATCTGGTTTTACCCCAGAAAGAATCCCTAAGTAAAAAAACCAAACATGGCTTAAGTGCGTCTCAGAAGTCGCCGGTGTTCAAGGAAGCAAACAGAAAACCTATCAAGACGATAGGGCAACCTGACCAAAGTCCCTCAGAGTTAGGATTCCAGAATTCATAGACTATCAAAGCGACAGGGACATACAGAGGCCCTACCATCTAAGGCATCATGCTAAGACCCCAAAGAACACAACAGTGGAGGACACAGCGATGGGGCTTCCTTAGAAAGACACGGAAGCATACACTGTGGACAACAACTGAAAAGACAGGGAGGAGGCGACGAGCGTCAGGGCACTGTAGGCACTGGGGCTACAACTGCCTGAGAGAGTCCGGCGGAAAGGGCTGCAGGTTGGGTGGTGAAAGGCTTGACCCAGAAGCGCATCTGCAGGAGGGAACATTCCTGGTGGGAGGAACCGGAGCGAAACCAAAAGGGAGCAAGGCACAGATGAACTCCAGGGCAGCCTTTCAGACCTGTTTACACAACGGCAGTTTCTCAAAAGCTGGCCCAAGCGCACAGGAGGCTGCTCCGTGAAGAGCTTTAAACACCTGGTCTGTTGCTGAAACTCGACAGCATGTAAACAGCTCAGCCAACTGTAGATAGGAAAAGTGTCAACCACCCAGGGAACCCTGGAGCCCTGACGCTGCGTTTACTCACAGGTCAGTCCTTTGTGGGCTCCTGAATTCTACCTCCAATATTACTTCTATTTAGTCCACTACTAAAGGGGTTCCAAGTTACAGGCTACTTGGGAATGCATGTGTTCATACTTAGCAAGATACTTATAAACTTAAATTTTTGAAAACGTGAGCCCTTTTAAAGGAAAGCTATAATCCTGTTATGTTATACTTCATTCATCCAAATACTTAATGACAACCCGATGAGATGAGCGATTTTCAAAGGAGCGCAAGAGCGTGAGCAAGAGCAGGAGCAAACGCACGAGGGTAGCACAGTGCGCACAACGGCGGGAGGGAAGCGAAGCATTTACAGCCAAGTCCTTGTCCTCAATCACCGTCTTCAGTGAGGCCCACAGGTCAAGCCCCGGCAGACTGGAACACCCACTGGGAAGTTCAAACAAGAACGTCCAATGGCTCTACTAAAGCTAAAAAGAGATCTGTAAAAATCCCATCGATCCCAAGCCGTATCCCTCTGAGAGCAAACGCATTTGAAGTTTAAATTATGAATTTCATCTTAGAAAACCTCAAGTCCCATGGTTCTGATCACACGTTCTTTCCAGGTACTATTTAGTATGGAGAAGGCGTGACTTCAGCCTCCGGTGCTGTGAGCGCTAAGGACAAGGAGGGCAGGGTGATGGATGCCACAGTAATCCGGTGAAAGAGCTTGGATTCTCTCCTAGGGCCTCCCCGTTAGAGTAGGAGTGCGCTGCAGAAGACACAGCTACAGTGGAGGAACACACGGCAGACACGCCGACACGCTCCCACCTGCAAACACTGGAGACAGTTTTCACCAGGAGCACCTTCTTTTTGCCACGCCTCTCTCCAACACCCACCCCCACAGCCACCACACCGGGACGGAAACCGGCCTTATTTACTGTGATAACGCAGGCGCTGCTCGGCGCTCCAGAGGGGGAATGCGCAAATACGGGGAGGGCGCGCACACGAGGGTCACCGCTGCCCTCGCTCACGTGTCCACGCCGGGGCTCCAAGTTCTCTACAGGAAATAGTTTAGTGAAAGGACAGAAAATTCTCAAAATGTCTTCTAAACTCCACCTATTTTCAGTCAGAAAACAGCACACAGACACAGGCCATGGTGCCACTGGGCATGCCGGGCCTCCACCATGGCGGGGTCACTGCACGCAGTGGCCATCTGTGTCCCCTGCCCTCAGCCCACTTTCACTGGCCTCCAGACGACGAGCCGCCAGCAACAGTGGCACAATTCTACACAGCCTGGTAAGAATTACCCACAACATTACAAGACTTCACATGTAAGAAGTTTTCATTTCAGAGAAATCGTTAATCTTATTCACCCATACCATGGTAATTTTAAATAGTATCCAAAAAAAAAACCACGTAATAGTAGGGTATTTTCTGACCTCTTAAAATAATTGGGGCCAGTGAGACCCAAACCGTGCTTAACTCTACTCCACAAGGCAGTGTTCTTTCTCACAGACCTGAATGAAAGGTGGGATGGGAGGGCCCTCAACCAGGTGCCTGGCAAAGGTCTCTCCTGAAGAGGAACATGAATTAGCACTACATGAAGTTCCATCCATTTTAAGATTTTCTACCACAAATTTTCCTAACGCTCTGGGTCCTAGAAATAAACGCTAGTACATGACCAAAAAAAAAAGTGAGCAAAGGAGCAGGAACAAGGAGCAGCAGGTAAACCCCCCAAAAGAGCCGGGCACCCCCCACAAAGTGCCATTGCCCCCTCGCCCCAAAGGTCAGTGAGCCTGACACTGGATTTTATCCTGCACATACGGAAGTCTGGGTCCCGCTACCAAACTGTTCCTGGTTCACAGCAGAGAAATGACTATACGTCACTATTACACGACAGGCAGCAGAGTCCCGGGACTTCTCAGGATCTGAATCATTGCTAAAAATAAAACAAGCCAAAGAACTGTCCTTAGAAGAAAAATAATCATCTAAATCTATTAAAAACTTAGCATGTTTGGGGCACCTGGCTGGTTCAGTCGGTAGAGCACACGACTCTTGATCTCAGGGTCATGAGTTCAAGCTCCACATTCAATGTAGAACTTAATAATAAAAAAAAAAAATTAGAGGGGCGCCTGGGTGGCTCAGTTGGTTAAGCGTCTGCCTTCAGCTCAGGTCATGATCCCAGGGTCCTGGGATCGAGCCCCAAGTCGGACTCCCTGCTCGGTGAGGAGTCTGCTTCTCCCTCTCCCTCTGCCCCTCCCCCAGCTTGTGCGCACACTCTCTCTCCCTCCCTCTGAGAGAAATAAAATCTTTAAAAAAAAAATAGCATGTTTACATTCGGCGAAAGCAAAGCTGCCAACTCCTAACAGCAAGACAGTTTCAGTTGTTCCTGGTTAAAGACAAACATCAAACCATCCTTCTCTCCCTGAGGTGTGCAGCCAACTGAAGAGCTAAAGCTTTGATTTGGTAAGATCTTCTAGAATACTCTTAAAGTACTTTTTTTTTTTAAAGATTTTATTTATTTATTTGACAGAGAGAGACACAGCGAGAGAGGGAACACAAGCAGGAGGAGTGGGAGAGGGAGAAGCAGGCTTCCCACGGAGCAGGGAGCCCGATGCGGGGCTTGATCCCAGGACCGCAGGACCTGAGCCGAAGGCAGATGCCCAACAACTGAGCCACCCAGGCGCCCCATCTCTTACAGTACTTGTAATATATTCCTTTAAAAATTTCTGGGCAGGGCACCTGGGTGGCTCAGTCGGTTAAGCAACTGCCTTCGGCTCAGGTCATGATCCTGGAGTCCCGGGATCGAGTCCCACATCGGGCTCCCTGCTCAGCAGGGAGTCTGCTTCTCCCTCTGACCCTCCCCCCTCTCATGCTCTCTCTCTCATTCTCTCTCTCAAATAAATAAATAAATAAAATCTTTAAAAAAAAAAAAAAGAATTTCCGGGCAAAACTACTTGGAAACTTTTGTTAACACAATTTAATAGATTGACACAGAGCTTTTGAGCTTTCAAATAAAATTCCAAGTACGATCTCGCGTGCTTGATTAAACTGCATCTTCTGCTTTTTAGCTTAGATTAGAAAGCTAGGGCCTGCACTGGTTCAACTGTGTCCGATTTCTGAAAAGAGCTCAAGACTGACATCTCACACAATAGCCTGGGGGTGATTTCAGTTTGTTTACTGTCTTAAAGATAATCACTGATGACATTTCTGACTACTCGTCCTTAGGCATGGTCACAGGGAGCTCTACGTCAGAGGTTTTTCCACATTTCCCTTCACAGCACCCTTGACATCTCAGTAACTTTTCCACAGTGCCCCAAAGTCAAAAGAAATACCATTTATTATTAGGTCCAAACAACTTAAAAAGCATTTGTGTCCTAATAACTTAGTAACCATCTTAAATAATACTACATTTAAATTGAGGGAAAACATGTTTTTGTTTTCTTCCTAAATACCCAAGATTACTTGTGAGCATATGTACTTCGGTGCTAGGGAGGCTTGGAATCACAGTGGACCCTCCTACTCTGGTTTCCTGTGGCTCACTGACTCTCATGTGGCAATGGCTTTTTAGCATAGCAACCAGCGAAAACCCGGCTCCACAAAGATGCAACACCCTTAAAAGAAATGCAAGGGCGCCTGGGTGGCTCAGTCAGTTGGGCAGCTGCCTTTGGCTCAGGTCGTGATCCCAGGGATAGACCCCTGCACTGGGCTCCCTGCTCAGCAGGGGGTCCGCTTCTCCCTCTCCTTCTTGCCCTCCCCCAATTGTGCCTGTGCGCGCTCTCTGATAAATTAAATCTTAAAAAAAAAAAAAAAGAAATGCAGTGTGATCTCATCTTAAAATGTGAGCTGATGACTATCACTGTGTTTCCTCAAAAATTAAAAATACCCTACAGCCCTGTGGTGTTCTAGGGGGCCTCAGAACAGCGAGGGAACTGTGGCTCCAAGTGCTTTAAATGGTATTCATTTGTTCACAAATTCTTCTGCCTATATAAAGAGGAAATATTCAAAATCTAAAGAAACGAGCTCCAATCAATTGATCATCTTCCACCATCAAACTTTCTATCAAAAACAAAGGGTCCAGTGTTCTAGCAAGTTTCCAATGTCTGCATAGAGACCTTTAAAAATCGACGAGAGGGGCAAGCAAACTTTTCCTGTAAGTAGAGGGCCAGATATCAAATATTTTAAGCTTTACGGACCAGACAGGTTCTGACGCAAATACTCAGCACTGCCGCCACCAACACGTGAGCAAACGAGCACAGCTGTGCGCTGATGAGACTTGACTTAGAGACACCGAGAAATGAATTTCATATGCTTTTCACATGTCAGAAAATGTTATTCTTTGGGATTTTTCCCTACTCATTAAAAAATGTAAAAACTAGGGCACCTGGGTGGCTCAGTCGTTAGGCATCTGCCTTCGGCTCAGGTCATGATCCCGGGGTCCTGGGATCGAGCCACTGCATCGTGCTCCCTGCTCAGTGGGGAGTCTGCTTCTCCCTCTCCCTCTGTCCTTCCCCCCTGTGCACGCTCTCTCTCTAAAAAAAAAAAAAAAAAAAAAAAAATCAGTTCCTCAGTCTCACGAGCCACATTTTAAGTTAAAGAAGTTGCTCTGATATTCTTGCCTGACTTACAATGAGTAACTGAATGCTGTAACAAACATTTTGACCTGACAACTCCACACCTTTGTCCTAGTTAGTGTCCTCAGAATGTCTGCAGGGCTGTGCTGGCAGATGCCCCAAATCATAAGCCTTATGATAAATTTTTTTCTCTCCACAAAACCCAGAGTCATTCATACTTACTGATAGGTTGATTATATTAGTCTGAGTTTCAAATCTGTTTTATTAATTAGGCTTTGTTATTTAAAGCCTTTTGTCCAGACGTAGAATAGAAGGCTGTATCCCCTATTTTAAAACTTCTGGCACCAGAGGGAATTTTTTAGAAAACAGGCAACCTCCGAACTCATAACACCGATCACAAAGCTAACTTAAGGGTAAACATCAGTTAATTCCTTCAAAGACAGCTCACTGAGAGGCAGCTCAACGCTCTCTTCAGTCCCCCTGAGGCTGCTCTCCTACCCCTCGGTGCGCCCCCTTCCTGCTCCACCCGCCCCCAACTGGATCCCTGGTATTCCTTCCTTCTCTAGGTCCCAAGAGTCTCAGATCTAGTTTTGTTTTCTGCCTAGAATGTAACTTTCGTAACTGTTTTTCTTTTTTCTTTTTGCTGACAGCCTGAAAAGCATCTCTTCTGTTTTCTAGTTTACAAATATTAACCCAGAGTTTTAAAATAAATTATAGGAAAAATAAAAAATAAAATAAATAAATTACAGGTTTTACTCTTGATTCTAACAGATCCAAATATCTTAGAAAAGCCCTACAGAATCAAAAAGTGTTCTCTTCTTTTTTAGTGCCAATGTTTTCTGTGGCAATATGTAACAAATAAATTGTGGTATACCCACCCAATGAAACACTCTTCAGCAATACAATGTAACAAACTACTTATGCGCACATGAATGAATCCAAAATAATTATGATGAATCAAAGAAAACACCAAAAAAGTACGTGTGATTCTATTTTTGTGACATTCTAGGAAATGGACACCAATTTATACTAACAGAAAGCAAATCAGTGGTTGCCTGGTGGTAGGAAAAAAGAAATTACAATGGGGCATAAAGAATTTCTGGGGAATTTCTGGGGTGATGGATATGTTCATTATCTTTATTACAGTGATGGTTTCAAAGGTATATACACATGATAAAACAGTTTATTATTCATCATTTATACCTCAGTAAAGCTAAAAAATAAAAATAAAAACACAAGTACACATAGGTTTAACTGACAAAGCCAACTTAGGAAAGCATTTCTAGCAGTGCTCAGGATTTCCTGATGAAGGAACCCGATTCACCATCATCCAGCACGGAGCAGGCACAGGCCAAGGGCATTTGACAAGGAACACAGCATGGCAGGCTTTATTCCTAATCATCAAACACTGAAAGCAGCTGAGATGTCCCACAAAAGATGGATAAACAGACTGGGGCAAATCCATACAAGGGAGTATTATTCAGCAATAAAGAAAAATCAGCTGTCAACCCACAAAAATACATGGAAGAAACTTCAATGACTATTGTTTAATGCAAGGAGCCTGTGTGAAAAGGCCGCGTCCCATATGATTCCAACCACGTTGACACTCTGGTAAAGGACAACTATGGAGACAGCCGGAAGCTCAGTGGCTCCCAGGTACTGGGGAGGAGAAGGGAGGGAGGAGTAGGTGGAGCACAGAGGGTTTTTTGGGCAGTGAAACTATTCCGTAGGATACCATAATGTGGACACATGCCATTCTACACGCATCTACACCCACAGAATGTGCAACACAAAGAGTGAATCCTAATGTAAATTATGGACTTCAGTTAATAATGATGTATTAATACTGGTTCATCAATCAAAACGAACACACCACACAGGATGTCAATAACAGGGGAAGGGGCACCTAAGTGGCTTAGTGGGTTAAGCGTCAGACTCTTGATTTCAGCTCAGGTTCTGATCTCAGGATCGTGAGATCAAGCCCAGCGTCGGGCTCCATGCTCACTGTGGAGTCTGCCTGGGATTCTGTCTCTCCCTCTGTTCTTACCCCTGCTCACGCGAGTGCTGTGCGCCCGCTCTCCATCTCAAATAAATAAGTAAATAGGGAAATTATAAAGGGGTATATAGAAACTCTCTGCACTATCTGCTCAATTTTCCGTAAACCTAAAATTATTCTAAAAAAAAATCATACCTATTAAATATGAAGAAAAGGGGCAAAAACCTATTAACTGTGCTGTAAGAAAATAAAAAGACAAACTTCTTTTCAGAAGAACCTAGAGAAATTCAGAATATCACTTACTCAGCAAACACTCTCTCCCTTCCCCATGACAGGCACTATAGGGCAGGTGCTGAGGGGCACGAACAGAGGGCAAGGACCGTGTGTGAAGACCACTCACCATGGGGGAAACAAGCCTGAGAACAGACTCCCAAACCACTGCCTACTTACTGAATCCTACGTTTGCACCATAATCGGTTTCACAGAGATTAATGCGTTTACTAGGCAGGATCTTTCTATGAAATGTTTCTCTCTACTTTGAAATGAGGAAATGGGAGGCTGAGAGGAGCAAATGTCCCAGAATTTGAACCCGGGTCTGCCCCACTCCTGATGCAGATGGCCTCTGAATCTCAGAGCACAGACCCGGGGAAAAGAGACCGGCTTCAAATCCCAGCTCTGCCCTCAGCCGGAGGATGGCCTTGGGAGGTTACTAAATTTCCTCATCTTCTTTAATGTACAGAATTGTGGAAGATTAAAAAAGAAAATGTTTAGTAGATCCTGACACAGAATAAGAACAATAGTCAAAACATGCAGCTACATGTGTTCACATGCCCACTGCACATGAACTTCCCAAAGAGGAAGAGAGTGACGAACCGTGGGTAAGGACACGGCCACCCAACAGTCCCAAGGAGCCAACTCGGCGATGCATAAAAAGAGGAAGGACACCTTACCTTTCTAATGCAAACAGCTTTAAAAACTAAAAATTTTTTTGACATTTACCTTTTCTATTATACTTCGAAAATGCACCCCTCAGAAAATCCACGTGTTCACCAGACTAAAATGACACAAGATGCAAATCTCATGAGGCTTTGGTGGAAACCAACTATGTTAAGTTTATAAATAGCCAACTAAAAAAAAAAAAAAACTTGGTATAAATACTATCATATTGGTCTCCCTCTTTCTATAAGGAAAAGAAAAGGCAAACAGAAGATAAAGATAGAAAAATTCTTTATTTCAATTTCAGCACTGTGGATAAAATATTCCCTCTGTAATATAAAATAAATACAAGAAATAAAGGGATTTAGCTAGTTAAATGATTAATTAGCTAAATATAAAATACTCAGTTACTGGAAACAAAAAATATGGCTCTGAAGACAAACATAACTAGAGGTGGGAAGAGAACTTTCATAAAACACATGGGGGCTGGCAGGAGGGTGCCAGGTAACAAGATGTTCTCTGAAAAGTTTGCAGTTACAGGCAGCCTTGAATCAGGCCTGATGTTAATGGTATTAACGTTTTCCACAGAACGAGGAAATACAATATACCTGGAAGGGAAAGAACTCACGTCAGGAAACTAATTGCTCAGGTCCCGCACTGGCCTGAATAAATGTAAACATTAACCTGCTGTTCCCACAGTCTCGGAAGAGCCCTCCCCGGGTGGTCTCGCACAACTGTTGACCAAAGACATGATGCTGCACCAACACTTACGGCCTCAGATGGACTGTTTTATTTTATTTTTATTTTTCAAATGGACTATTTTAAACTCAGAGTGCTAGCAACTTTCGATCCTCCCTGCACCCCGACCCCATGAATTACCAGGTATTTGACTCAACTACCCACAGTGTCCTTTCCCTCCGCTCCTGCAGCACCGTCTCCTCAGGACTAAGACACAAACCAGGGAGGCACACCACAGAGCCAATGCAGAGCTTTGGACCTTGATTTGAAGGCCAGCAGTACCCACCGATGAGCAAGAGGCTTCCGTTAAAGAAAAGAGAAAAGACGGGGAGATAGGGCCCTGGGGGAAAAAGTTTTATTGCCCAGCAGGGAACCGGGTCAGACACAGTTCAGAGGGAGAACCAGGAGGAGAAAGGGAGAGGAATTTTAAAGCAAAGTCCAAAAACCAGCCCTGTCCAGAATCAGGAGAGGCAAGGGTCGAGCATCAGCGGCTGGCTGGTGAGATCGGGGTTTGTCTGGAGGTGAGCCAGCTGCAGGCAGTCCACCCCTACATGCTGGCAGGCTGCGCCACGGTCACTGGGCGGGCAGCCAGGTCAAGGACCACCCACTGGCCGAGCCAGTTCAACCTCAGTTCTCTCCCTTGTACAGTGGAATAAGAGAAGACCTACTCCAAAAAGTACACACTTCCAGTTGTAAGTCAGTCAGTCGGTGGAGCGTGAGACTGCAGACCTCAGAGCTGTGAGTTAAAGTCCCACACTGGATATAGAGCTTACTTAAAAGAAAAGGCGGGGGGGGGGGGGGCACCTGGGTGGCTCAGTCAGTCAGTCGGTTAAGCGTCCAGGTCCGGATCTCAGGGTCATGAGATCAAGCCCTGAGTTGGGCTCCTTGCTCAGTGGGGAGTCTGCTTGGGGATTCTCTCTCTCTCTCCCCCTCTACCCCATACCCCTGCTCATGGGCACACACTCTTCTCTCTCTCAAATAAATAAATACATCTTTAAAAAGAGAAAAAAAACAGGTAAGTCCTGGGGATATAATGCACAGCACAGTGATTATAATTAATAATACTGTACTGCATATTTGAAAGGTACGAAGAGTACGTCTTAAAAGTTATCACAAGAAAAAAATGTGTAACTATGTGAGGTAATAGATGTTAAATAAACTTATTGTGATGATCATTTCACAAATAAGTACATACATCAAAGCACTATTATTCATCTTAAACTAATACAATGTTAAATGTCAATTATATCCAAATAAAGCTGGTGGGGGCCCCACCCACAAGGTAAGTGTAAGCAATAAATGAGATACTGGCAGCATCCTCAACTTCTTCTGGGTCTAACTTAGATCTGTGGAAATTAACACAGTGTATACATTTTTTAAGATTTTATTTTTAATTAATCTCTATACCCACCATGGGGCTTGAGCGTCCAACCCCGAGATCAAGAGTCATATGCCCTTCCAACCAAGCCAGTCAGATGCCCCAAAAGTTTTAAACTTTGGAAGTTGAAAATATGGTACAGTTGTATTTGAGGACCATTTACAAAACACTCAAAAACTCCTTTCATGAAAAAGAAACACGACTTTAAGAATCATAAACGTAAAACCACCACCACACACACCTTTCCACTGTAAGGCGACAGAGTCGAAATGTGTACACTGTGTGAATTTCCACGGCTCTAAGTCAGACCCAGAAGTTCGGGGGCACTGCCACCCCTCTTTTCCATCCTCAGTCTCACCAATCAAAACGCGGAGGACAGTCAAACAAACTACCACTATGGGTTCGCTGTACAGAAGGGTTATTTAAAACAGCTGGACCAACAAGCCATCGAGTGAAGCACCCCCTCCACACAACCTCTGGTCGTTTTCAACCTCAGGCTGTGTTTCCAACAAAACCCAACTTAAGGACCTGGCTGATACGGATTCATGCAAGTATAGCAAAATCTAACTCCAGGTAACTGGGTACCAGGCTTGAATAATGTACAGACCCCTTTTAAGAGAAAAAAGCTTCTTTGGACCTTTGGTGTTGACCAATTATTTTTATTATTATGTTACTTAAATACATACAAACTAGGTAAAAGCTCATACAATTATGAAGCCCATGACATACGTTTACTAGGAAGGGTGACAACTTGTTGGAGCTGATGGCTCCTTCAGCACAGACACAAACTGGTGGCCAGGGCACAGTGCTTTCAGACCTGACGGCTGGCTGGGAGAGGCTGCAGGTGACCCACCATGCCCACTGCTTTCTTTAGTTAACCCTTTACTTGTACAGCTCCCTGTCTGCAAGGTACCTTGGCCTATACTTGGCTCAAATACATCTTCTACATATTAATTCCACCTCAATTCTTTTTGTATTTGCTTTCCACCATAAAAATAGTATTATTTGGCACCCCCAAATAAACATAACGGCAAACCATGTTCTGTCCCATAGCACTTAGCTATGTCAGGCATCCAGATGATCTCAATGTGTTCATACTTTTTTCAGACTGTCAAAATAAAAAGCACAACATTAACCAATCCCTATTAGAGAATTAAAGGACACTACAGTTGACCCTTGAACAACGAGTTTGAACTGTGCAGGTCCAAATATACACAGATTTTTTTCGATACAGTACAGTATGGTAAATGTATTTTTCTTATGCCTTTAACATTTTTTTACCTTGTTTGATTGTAGGAATATGGTATATGATAATACACAAAATCTGTATTAATCAACTGCTATGTGACCAGTAAGGCTTCGGTCAACAGTGGGCTATTAGTGGTTAAGTCTTTGGACAATCAAAAGTTATATGCAGATTTTTAACTGCACTGGGGGAAGAGGGGAGGTCCGTGCCCCTAACCTCTGTGTTCAAGGGTCAATTGTGGTTAGAAAAAAAAGAGGTAGACACATCTTTTAAGTTGATCTTTATACTTAAGATACCACCGTCAATAAATCTTGAAGGTCAAATGTTTCATAGGCCACAATTACTTAAGCCCCAGGGAAACAAGAGTGTCCAGAGTGCTATGAAAGGTTTCTCCTCTCTCAGGTTTTCGTGTGCAATCACGTGACTGATCCATGCGTGGTCCAATGGCAACCAAAACACACCATGATTTACCAAACCCATTCCTAATCCATAAATTGTTTTGTCTAATAAATAGCAAACAGAGTATAGGTGGCAACAAAAATAGCAGTTTTGCATATTCCTATTCAAATCAAGTTGGGATTTGGCAGAGTACTGTTTTACTTTCCAGAGTGTAAAAAATAAATCCATGGACTTCAGAAAAGCATCTGGTGTTCCAGCGTATCGCAGCTGTCAGCTTTGAAAGATGCCATGTGTTTGCCCACATAAAAGAATGTAATGAGCTATGGAAATATTATCCGGTTTCATGAACCAGAATAAAAACTCCATCATCAGTAGGCTGAAAGTAGGAGCTATTTTAATCCATCAGGAACATATCTGTCGTGCACTATTTATTAGAGGCCTGTTACACAAGTCGCACCTCCCAGACTGTCCAGCGCCCACTTCCCTATTCTCTCTGCTGCTTCTCTCCCCCTACGGCCGGAGCCCACCGTTGTACTTCACTGGCTCTACACCTGCCGTTAGATGCTGTTCTTTCTTCAGAAACCGGGCGCCTGGGTGGCTCAGTCGGTTGGGTGTCTGCCTTCAGCTCGATCATGATCCCAGAGTCCTGGCATCGAGTCCCGCATCGGGCTCCCTGCTCAGCGGGGAAGTCTGCTTCTCCCTCTCCCTCTGCCCTTCCCCCTCCTCTCTCTCTGAAATAAATAAAATCTTTAAAAAAAAAAAAAAAAAGAGGGGCGCCTGGATGGCTCAAATGGTTAAATGCCTGCCTTCAGCTCAGGTCATGATCCCAGCGTCCTGGGATCAAGCCCCACATCTGGCTCTTGGCTCAGCAGGGAGCCTGCTTTTCCCTCTGCCTCTCCCCCTGATCATGCTCTCTCTCTCTCTCTCTCTGTAGCTCTGTGTCTCGAATGAATAAATAAAATCTTTAAAAAATAAAATTAAAAAAAAAAAAGAAACCAACAGCAACAGCAACCATGAGATGTAAATTACAGATATACTTTGAATACAGGGGACCAAATTCAGTGGTAGAATTCTTCAAGGAAGCTGTGTTTTGGATCTAGAATCTACTAATACAAAGGACAAAAAAAAAAAAACCTAGAGAGATATGCATTTTTTTGGTTGATATTATAGTCAAAAACTAGATCTTAAAAGTGTACAGTAAACACGACAGCCGAAAAGTGGAAGCAACCCAAGTGTCCACTGATGGACGAATAGATGAACAAAACGTGGTATATACATCAAATAGATTATTCAGCCTTAAAAAGGAAAGAAATTCTGACACCTGCTACAACATGGATGACCCGTGAAGACATGATACTGAGTAAAATAAGCAAATCACAAAAGGACAAATGTTGTAGGATTCCACTCATATAAGAAACATAGTTCTAATCAGAAACAGAAAGCAAAGAAGGGGCAGGGTGTTTACCAGGGAATGGGGGTTGGGGAGCTGGTGTTTAATGGGTACAAAGTCTCTGTGCGGGAAGGTAAAAAAGTTCGGGGGATGGATGGCAGTGATGGCTACATAAGGTGGACCCGTTAGCACACTGAACTGTATACTTGGAAATGGTTAAAATGACAGATTTTATATTAGTGTATATTTACCACAATACAGTATAGTACAAGTACAGGTTCTTTACCTGAAAATTAGCAAAGTCATACAAATAACTAAATTAAGACAAGTTCAAAGAAACACATGCTTGTAACTTTGGTATCACTAAATAAACTCAAGAACAACAGTCTGAAAAGCATATAAAGCAAATAAATAGTCTCCGTCTTGGCACGTTAAATCCTTCAAAAGAAAACATAATGTAGTAAGAATCTCTTGACACAGCCTGTTAAAGAATCTAGTCTTTTCAAAAAATTTAACAGTTATAATCGAAACCAACTTCCCTTCCTCCTATTCCATTTGCTATAAATTCTAATTAAGGAGAGCTACACCAGTGGTTCTCAAACCTGAGCAGGTATCAGAATCACCTGGAGGGCTGTGAAACCACGCTGTGGCGCCCACTCTCAGAAAACCCCGATTCAATAGAGAATCAGAACTTAGAACTGCTAGAATTTGCATTCTAAATCAACTTTGTGTTAAAAGCAAAATGAAGATAACAGGTGTTTGAGCAAGAGTCCTAATATTAATAGCATAAATCCTGCAATACAACCAATGATCTCTTAAATAAATTTACTTAAAATCTGTACCTTACAGCTTTTAGGTCTGGACTTGGTTTTTAAGACATACACAGGGATTAAGCTAGGAAAAAGAAGAGAAACACACACATTTATGAGTAGGACTACCTAATGCTACAGAATAACTTATTCATTAAGAAAAATAAGTCATATAATAATCAACCTTTCAGGTTTAAACCTGAAGATATCTCAAAAAAAAAACAAACTAGAATACCATATTACCAGAGTCAATAATTTTTTTTTTTAAGATTTTAATTATTTGACAGAGAGAGACACAGCAAGAGAGGGAACACAAGCAGGGGGAGTGGGAGAGGGAGAAGCAGGCTTCCCGTGGAGCAGGGAGCCCGATGCGGGGCTCGATTCCAGCACCCCGGGATCATGACCTGAGCCGAAGGCAGACACTCAATGACTGAGCCACCCAACAATTTTTAAATGAATTTCACGTTCTATAGGAGAACCACAGAAATGAAATTCTTTTATAATTGGTATTCATCACTATGGGAGAAAAGCCACCCAAAACACCAAATGATACATAAACCAGGACACATTTTTTAGTCAACTATAGTGCTTATATACTTCAGTTCACTGAATATGGACTCTGTTTTACCCACAAAACATGATTTGAGTTAGATTCCTTCAAAACATGACTCAACGACAAGTAGCAAATACCTCCAACCAAAAGAGCATGATCCAATGTGACCTTCTGTCAGAATTTTCATTACCAGAAGCAGAAGTTCCACAGGAACACACGCAAATATTCCAAGACTGACTTACTCCTTAGACAAATATATTTCTGAGAGCTTACTATATGCTCAAGTTACAAGCTGAAGGTGGAGAGACCAGTGAGGTGACGGGGCCATGAGAACACAGAGGGGGAATCCCACCTAGGAGAAGTGAGTCCAACCAGTCAGAGCCAGCCAGGTGGGAAAGAGGGAGGGAGGAATCCCAAGCAGTCTGCAGAAAGGCGCAGAAGCCGTGGGGAATAACGGCATACTGTTGAAACTCCCACTGGTCCGATATAACTGGATGTGCAGCAAACGTGGAGGGCTCATGCGGGGAGATGAGGCTGGGGAGAGAGGCAGGAGAAGATGGGGAAGGGCCCCGGGTACCAGGCTGGGTACCAATCTGAGCCTCACCTTGAAGGTGCGGGGCAGACACTTAAGAACCCCAACACGGAGCATGTTCAGGTTTACAATCAGAGCCCCCGGCAGCAGCCCAGGGAAAGAGGAGGTGGGTGAGATGGCGTCAGCAGTCCGAGTCCACAAGCCCTGAAAAGGATGCCAGGAACTGTCATCCTGTCATCGGAGGGGAGCCAACACGATCGGAGACAGGCAGATTCAGAAACAATTCGGGTGGGGCACGGGGCTGGCTCAGTCAGAGGAGCATGTATGTGACTCCTGACCTCGGAGTCGTGAGTTCAAGCCCCACATGGGGTGTAGAGATGACTTAAATAAGTGAAACTTAAAAAAAAGAAAGAGAGAGAGAGAGAGGAAGGGAGGAAGGAAAGAAGGAAGGAAGGAAGGAAGGAAGGAAGGAAGGAAGGAAGGAAGGAAGGAAGGAAGGAAGGGAGGAAGGGTGAGTTCGTTCGTTCATTCGACGTTCTGGACAGGGGAGGGTCTGGTCATCACTGAGGCCAAGGGGCGAGCAGGGAAGGCAGCCAGGGACGCCGAGGTCTCTGGTCTGAGGGCAGGGCCGGCCACATGGCCGTGGCACTCATCAGAAGCAGCAGATCACAGGTAAAGGCAGAGCTTCAGAGACATTTTATTGGGGTTTTCTGTGTACTTGTTTTCTGTTAGGCTGTGTTCTTTGCGCAGGCAGGAGGAGGGAGTGGATTCTGTTTCAGAGACACTGAATTTGTATATAGTCAAATGGAGATGTCCTAGCAGGCAGTTGGCTAGGAATCTGGAAGCTCCTGAGTGGGAGTGTAGGCTGAAGATAAACTTTGAGATCTTCTGTTTATAAAGTAACAGTTGAAGCCATGAGTTAAATGAGGCTGCCCAGGAAGAGATGTCAGGTGAGACAGAACTGGATAGTTCTAAAATAGCATTAACTGCCAATTATAACACCATGATGCTTATGAGGGCCAGAAAACACAAAATCTATAACCGGTGGTCCCCAAATAGCAAGACAAGTATGAGAGGAGGAGTCCATCTGCCACCAGCAAGGCTGGGAGTGGGGGGTGAGAGGCAACACTGGTCAGAGGGCAGGCTGGAGAGTTCCACAGGCAGCCTCTAGTCAAATATGCAAGGCACTCACACTTACACACCGGATGCTTATCAATAACTCAAAGTATGCTCTGAATACTCTAGTGCGAAACAAGCAGGAGAGCCATGAAACAGATGGTAAGATTTCTGAATGGAAAAGGGATCCAGTACATCAAGATACATAGAGTTACCTTATATAGAGTGATAATGATATATACATAAACTTTTCATTAAAAAAAAAAAAAGGCTAGTTCTCCTAACATCAAATTGTACCTTGCAAAAGAATTTGAATGCAGGATATGCTCTCTGTTTCAACATGTAAAATCACTCCCCTAGAAATACACAAAACTGTTTCCCTCCTGTACAGGTTAAAATCAAGAAAGAAGAATCAGTTATGACACCAGCAAGCCAAGTCCTCTCTTCGGTGAACTTCTCTGTGGACGCTTCTCCAACCAGCCTGATAGCCCTACCCAGGGCTCAGGTGGAAGAACCACCGGGAGCCAGACCCCTCAGACCACTGCCCCCCAACCTCACTAGCCCCCAGCCAGGCCTCCACCAGCACCCGCTCGCTGCTCCTGCTACCCACAAACCCTCTCAGTCAAACCTGCCAATAGATGAACTCCTTTCAACTGCTTTCTGTGTGAAACATTAGGACCAATGAAGTGGGTTAAAAAGTAACTAGAAATAAACCCAGGAGTATTTTGCATCTTATTTGCAATTCAACATCCTTGAAGAGGGTCACTGGGACCAAAGAGGAGCAGCAGGTTTTTGCCACTAAATAAATAAAGCCGATCTCCATCATCAAGCCTTTCAACAGAGCCGCTAGAGTCGCTGAACTGACTCGAGGCTGCATCGGCTCCTGTCTACTACCGGGAACAATTAGCCAAAGGTTAAGAGGACGGGACTGGGTGGTGCCCCCGTCTCTCTAATAAAGTGAGGGCGTGAAAGGAAACAGGGAAGGGAGAACGTGGAAGAAGCGTGAGCACTGAAGACACAGAAGCCAAGAGCGATGGCTGACCCAGAGCGGGAACCAAACACTGTCTGAAAAGACATCGTTCTTGACAGTAGAGAAAAGTCAGAACACAGTGTTTTCATTAACTGTGATGATGACATGGCAATGGAGTTTACAACAGAAAAAGGTCCTTACTGGTTAGAGATACGTGCTGAAGGATTTATGGATGAGTTCACAAGATGCCTGAAATCTGCTCTAAATACACCAGGAAAAGAACAGAGGGGGGGGATAGATGACACAATACTCAGTGGCAAAGCGCTGCTCCTGCCAGAGTGGGGTGATGGGGCCGCGGCGTTAACTGTACGCTTCATCCTCTCTACTCACGTATGCTTGAAAATGTCCATAATACAAGGTTTCGGGGTTTTTGTGTGGTATTTTGTGTTTTCTCGGATTTCTGCACACCTCACTCTCACCCCAAAAAGACCAGACTCGGTTCAACTCAACGTGGGGCTCTTCTCATACTGCAGGCACACATACAAGTCTACCTGGGGTCCCCCCAGGTGTCCCCTGCTGTTTTGATACAGGAAATAAAGCCTAAATATAAGTACAAATGCCTGTTTCATCTAAAAGAAATCTTAAAAATAAAAGAAATATACACATTCAGAGAAGTCATTTACTCAACAGCGGCTCTGTTGAAATGCTTGATGATGAAGATTGGCTTTATTTATTTAGTGGCAAAAACCTGCTGCTCCTCTTTGGTCCCACTTTGGTCCCAGTGACCCTCTTCAAGGATGTTGAATTGCAAATAAGATGCAAAATACTCCTGGGTTTATTTATAGTTACTTTTTAACCTACTTCATTGGTCCTAATGTTTCACACAGAAAGCAGTTCATCTATTGGCAGGTTTGATTGAGAGGGTTTGTGTGTAGCAGGAGCAGCGAGCAGCGGGTGCTAGTGGAGGCCTGGCTGGGGGCTAATGAGGTCGGGGTGCAGTGGTAAATCAAAGAGGCAAGGAGCTGAGTCAGATCCTGCTTTAGATCTCCTTTGGATATTTCCTACTGAGCCACAACTGTCTTCACCCTAGCACATTAAAAATAATTCGGAATGCATAATGTGCTGGCAAGTGGGTGTGTAAGAGAAGGGAAAATGCCTAGTTCTATACAAAGTAGCATGTAATGAAAGTGTACTATAATTGTCCATTTCCAAAACTAAGTAAGCTTGACTAATTAATTAGACCCCAGCTTGTTTTAATTGCAATAGGACTCACACTGTAGCACTCGAACACCCTATAAATGAGAAGAGTACAGCGTCCCCCCACTGAAAACTGACCTTAATACACTGTCAGAGAAATTGGATCACTTCCCTCCATTCCTAGACTTGAATAAATTGTTTAAAGTCAGCTACCCAAAATACACGAACACTGCTTATTCACCTCTAGGTAAAAACAAATCCTACCGCATATTAGGCTGCCCGAAGATCTAATACCACCTCAGTCAACGAGAGGATGTATTTCAGTACCACCATGAGAAACTGGGAAACCAGAGCCAGGGATGCCAAAAGGCCCAGGGATGAAATCCAGGATGAGAGGAAGAAGAGGAAGAAGATGTGTTCTTCTCGAACAATGAGAGACGGGATGACAACACTTCCAACTAAATGCTGCTCAAAACCCAACGTGCATGCAACTCAGGTCAGAGGGAGAAACAGTGAAAAGTGGGACAGGTGGCTCAAAATTTCTTCAGGAGAATGGACGGGGCTTCCAGAGGCAGCCAGCTGCCAGAAAGAGTGAGCAAGGATAAAGCAAGTCTGGGTTCCAGCGGGACTTGTGCTCCTCCACCCCAACCAACCCGAGGAACAATCTGGAAGTGGGGTGGCTTGTGTGCCAGGCCGACTCCTCAGGAAGCACTCTATTTCTCGGATTTCTGCACACCTCACCCTCACCCCAAAAAGACCAGACTCGGTTCAACTCAACGTGGGGCTCTTCTCATACTGCAGGCACACATACAAGTCTACCTGGGGTCCCCCCAGGTGTCCCCTGCTGTTTTGATACAGGAAATAAAGCCTAAATATAAGTACAAATGCCTGTTTCATCTAAAAGAAATCTTAAAAATGAAAGAAATACACACATTCAGAGAAGTGATTTACTTACTGATTGATTTCACCTCGTATTTGGAGGTAGGCAAAGGGCTGGATGTAAAGAAGGAAGAGCAGGGGGCACAGGTATCGCCAGGCCCCGTCTTCCCTACTTTGCTAACTGCGGGCTAACTCCTCCGCACCGCAGCCTTACACTAGGTAACTGGCCTCGTCACTGGGTCACCCAGCTGGTTTGTGGCAGGGATTAGATGTGCACCCAACTCAGCACATCTCTCCTTCCTGCCTTCATCAGCTGGTCTTAGCGGGAAGCCAGGAGGCACCTGGGGAAAGGGAACCCAGGAGACGCCTGGGGAAAAAAAAAGGAAGAGCTAAAAACACAAAGAATGAAACAAACAAAAATAAGAGAGAAGAGCAAAAGCAAATTTAGGGGTGGTGGGCCATTTAATCAACAACTGTACACTGGCAAATAGCTTTTCTGTTTGTTCAACCTATAAAAATACACTGCTTAAACTACTAGTAAGGTGCCTGTCAACAGAGCTTCGCATAATTTATGAAGATGTAAAAAAAAAAAAAAAGTCAAATTCATCATAAAAGGGCTCTGTTCCTAAGGGAAGTATTGGTTAATTGAAGGATCATCATGCGTTACTTCTATTCCACAGAGAAAACGTAAATCTCTTATCTGAAAACAGACCAGAGTTACATTTTAGATCTGAGTTTCCATCAGACCCACCTCCCAAGTCCTCACATGCAAAGTTCCTGCGCACAGACGTCAGCTGACCAAGTGCAATCCAAGAGCCTACTACGGGTTTAGGGCCAACACCTGAGGGAACAGGGGAAATAATCTGCAAAGTCACTGCCCCTGAGGAACATAGACAATAGTTGTATGGAACCCTGAGAATAAAAGAAACTCTAGTTAGAAGGGGAAGTAGCTAACCCTGACGACCCTGATAAAAAAGTCAAGGAAAGGGAGAGAGACACGGGTGGTCCCTCAGAGGCCCGGGGAAGAAGCTAGGTCGGCAGGACCGAGATTCAAAGAAACAGACGGGGAAAAGCAAGCAGCTAAGGCGAGGAAGGAAGTGTCAAAACGGTGTAAGGGCTGGAAAAACACTGTGCGGCAACCAGAACAGCACAGAATAGATTTAAAAATGCGTATTTGTGAAGTAAGGTTACTTACTTCACAAAGGGAGGACAGGAAGGTCCTCGAGGAAGAGCACGGGAGTTTAGAGCAGGTCACCCACATGGGACCGCCACGTGGACACAGCGTCTGGCAGCCGAACGCGGGGCGACTCGAAGGCGTACAAGACGGAACAAGAAAACAGCTCACTCGGGCAGTGCCAGGAGAGAAAGGAACAGAAACGGGGGGCCCAAGGGCACAACCAGAGGCTGTGTCTGCTGGGCCACAGATGGTGGCAGGGGGAGGCCGGAAGAAGGCCGGTGCTCCTGAGAGCGGGCCCGGGCGCACCGTGCTGGCGCGGAAGGCAGCGGGGCCTGCGGGGGGGCCTCTCCCAGCACGCGCTCCACGGGGTCAAAACGACAGCTGTCCTCAGGAGGAAAGGGAGGAGAGGCCAGTCCTCGCCCCACGTGCGCATGCTGGCACAGAGCTCCCTGGGCCACCGCAGAGGACAGCGGCAGGCCTTCTCCTCTCCCCGCACCCACACCCGGAGGAACCCCCGCACCCAGAGGTACTGGACCCCTCCCGGCCGCCCTCCCGCGCCTCTCTTCGACCCGCTCCCTACCTCCTTCACCCCTCCTCGGGTTGGTAGTAAGAGGCCTGTGACGTCAGGAGGGGGAAAGCTGTGCCTGAAAATGTTTCGTTTTAAAACGGTTTTCCCCCAGAAATGTCAACGTGAAACACTCTCCCGCAAGCGCGTCAGAGTCCTCCCTGCCATGCCAAGCTCCTGCTTTGTGGGACCCCCCTCGCTCCGCCTGGGCAAGACCCCAAATCTTTTAAGTGTCCTTCAGGGATTCAACATGCCTCCCAACAGCCCGGGCAGAGGCTGGACAAGTCAGAGGCATCCCGGGGAACAAGAACCTTCAGAAGCCCCCGCAGGGTGCAAGGAACGACGGACTTGGGAAGCAGATCTCTGCCACTAAGTGCGCCTCGGGCTCCTCACCCTCCGAGGTGAGACAGGGGCTTTCGGGCCATTTCTCCGCTCACTGAAGCCCTAACGTGCTGTTTCTGGGCAAACGTCTCACAAAAGCAAGCCCTTAAAATGCTACAAGCGCCCGCTGGAAAACTCTACCTCCATCTTGCTTGTTTGCCATTTACGAGTCAATGGGAACATCAACAAGATTTCTTTGTGCTACGGGTATACTGACCCCAAAACAAATGATAAATTTTAATTAACTCAATCAAATGCAATTAACAAATCTGATGTCCACTGTGTCGCTATTTATAGTAGGCAATTTCCACCTGAACCATTTTCCGGCAATACTACACTCAGTCACACCTCTGCTTGACAGATAAGGCCATGTTCTCACTGAGTGGCATTTTCCCCAACAGTCTCCGCCCCCCAGGGGCCCCCCATGAAGCAAGATTTGGAGCCTCCAATCAACCACCCACCGCCCCAGCACTCCCACCACTACCCAGCACTCGCTGTGGCGCTCTCTCAAAGCCCTTTCCCTTGGGGGGGGCACCTGGCTGGCTCAGTCAGTAGGGCATGGGACTCTTGGGCTCTGGGTTGCGGGTTCGAGCCCCACACTACGTGTGGAGCTTACTTAAAAAGGGCAACCTGAGGATCTTTGTGGGGACGGAAATGCTCTGTATCTTGACTGTATGAATATCAGTATCTTGGTTGTGATACAGTATTATAGTTTTGCAAGATGTTCCCTTTGGACAAAAATGGGTAAGGGTACATGGCATCTTTCTGTATTATTTCTTATGATTGCATGTATATCTAAAAGTATCTTGAAATTAAAAGTTTAATTAAAAAAATAAATCCCTTGATGCTATAGTTCTGTTCTTGCTTTAATTGTGTCTCTCCTCGCTCTGAAGAACTGCAAAGAATATTCCCAGACTTATTCTATTATACTACTGTTTCTTCTCAATGAAAAAAATAATAATAAAGCAAGGTAAATAAAGAGAATTTTATGACGTACAATTTCAGTCCGAAAAGTGGCCAATGACACCACACAAAAATCACTAAGGACTTAAAACACTCTAGCTTCTATCTAATTCTGGAAGAACTTATTTCATTTTCAGATTAAAAAATACTTTCCACAACCCGAAAGAAAATGACTACTTGCCTCAAAACAAAAGCAATTTAAAAATGAGTTAATTTTAAAAGCCTGGGGGGATGGTTCAGATCTTGAATTTCAAATGCTCCTGTAAATCCACATATAAAATGGGCAGGACAAACTTCACCATTTTGAAAATAGTCAAGTAAGGAAAATATGGAAGTTGATCATTAGTCAAAACTCCTCTTTATTAATCTAGTGTCTGCAGAAGAGACCAAAAAAAAAAAACCTTTGCCTCACACAATCAGGGCAGCACTGAGCTTTTCAGATCATACTTAATGTTTTAGAGAACAGAACGCACCACCCCTGGCTCCTGGTTCCTGTGTTCCCCTGCCGACCCGGCCTGGCCAGCCCCTGGGGCAGTTCTCAGCCTCATAGGGGGCCACTGGGCCACTGCTCCCCACACCTCTCCCCCAACTCCGCCAGCCTCTGCCAACTGAAAAGGGTTAGGCCACCCACCCTGGGCAAATAATCCACAGACTGGCCAATAACCTACATCCTTGCTCCAGGGGAGAGATGCCCAGATCGAGCCTCTCTAGAATCTGAAACATGACAAGACTCGGTCACTTAGAAACTGAAAGAAAGCAACAAGAAATGCCACAAAGTTGGACTAGGGCTTGGAGGGGCTTAGAACAGCTAAAACAGCACCAGAGCTGAAGCCACAGGGGAGGGCAAACCAGGAGTGAGGAAAGCAGCCGACTGGCAGGAGACGGGCAGGAGACGGGGAAGAGAGGCTCCCCCCTGTGGAGCAAGGCCGAGTCCCATGGGGTGAAGTTCCAGGGACAACTGCAGCCAAGGTTCCCCAGAGCTGCCGGGAACCACCTTCCAACGCCCAGTTCTTGGAGCTCAGCCCAGCCAGCTCGCATTCCTGCATTTCTGTGCGATTCACATCACCACATCACACCACATGTGTTCCCTCGAACAATACCCCTTCTCAAGCTCTCTGGAGTGGGTCTTTGCTGCATACAACCAAAAGCCAAAGCAGTACACATAACATGCAAACAGGAAACAAGCCTCTCTGATAAACCATTAACATAAAATACTGAACAGTCCTGGTATTTAAGGGAAACACGGTGGCGCCGGGCTGGCTCCATCAGTCAAACACACGACTCTTGATCTCGGGTTTGGGGGTTCGAGCCCCACACAGGGTGTAGAGATTACGTAAAAGTAAAATCTTCAAAAAAAAAAAGGAAATACAGAACTAAAAGCACCACCCCCGTGCCAAAAGAAAAACCCCCAAAACCTCACACTGACAGAGAAGAGGCACAAGGGAACTTTCTGAGGTACTGGATGGAAAGGTTCTGCATCCTGACAGAGGTGTGGGTCACTCTTTCATCAAAACTGATCAAACTGTACACCTAATGTTAACGTGACCATCTCAATGTATGTAAATTATGTCTCAATTTAAAAATTTCCTAAATCTAAATTGTTTCCTTGAGACGACTTGCCTTTTGGGGGTTATTTTTCAAAACCATATTGCTCCAGATAAATCTCACAAACAAGGTTGCGCAGAAGCAGCCAGATGCAAAAACACCACCTGAGTTTCTAGTTAAATATAGAACAGAAACAGCCAACACTCATCAATGGTGTTCGAAGTCAGAGCAGCGAAGTCAGAGCAGTGGCTAACTTTGAGGTGGGAGGGAGGGGGCAAGTGGGATTTCTTGCTGGGCTGGTATGTTCTGGATCTTGATCTTGGTCCAGTTTGGCATTTTCATCGTTATGTTCGTGACAAAAGCATTTCCTGTACGCAGGTTATATTACACCTTAACAGTAACACAGAAAAGAAAGGAGAAGAAGGAATACCCAAAAATATTCTAAAAGTGATTTGGAAAGATTTGTTTTGCATCTGGTGAAATGCTTATTTTCAGCCAAACTCTGCAGATAAATAACAAAGAAAATTAAGACTTGAGTTACCCCGTTTGTGGAATTCTACTATGCCTCACGAACTTGATGTCAAGGGGAAAAACTCATTCAGCAGAGGCCTTAGAATAATCTAAATTAAACTCCATCCCATAGTGTTCATTGCTATGTAAGTGAATACCCTGACAACCAGAGCGCACTTCTGAATGAGCAGCAGAGGGAAAAAAACCACTCTGCACGTCCCTTTTCTACTTCAACAAACAAACAAAAAGACCAAAATCCAGAAGAAGTATTTTCAGAATCGCACTTCTGTGTTTTCAAAGAGAGAATTAACTCAAATTCACATATTAACCGGAGGTGCGTTTGTAAAAAACAAACATGCAGGTTTTCATTTTCAGAGATTTATGGTTTAAAAACATTTCATGAACTCTAGATCTGGATCAAAAGCATAAAAACAGAATAAGTAAAAGTGGAGCAATGGAAACAAATTATAACATTTACATCCATTTACAGATCATCAAATTTGAATACTTAAAAAAAAAAAGCCAAAGACTAAATTAAAATGTAAAGTACTTACAGCCATAATTAATTCAAAGGGGTGTTTATACACCCTCACGGGTGACTGGTATTTCTGCACCATGACTGCAACACAATAGCAATCCTCTCACACCTGCAAAACACAAATATATATGATTTAAAAAAAACCATGATTAAGTCTGGAAAAAATTAAGTCTGCATTTGCTCATCATACCACAGTCTAACTGTAGAAAGGGACCTCAATAATTCTCTACACACAAAAACCCAAAGATGACACTTGGACTATACAAGGAAGGAGAAGGTAATTAGACAGTAAGAAAAGGTGAAGGAAGTCCAAGTGTCATGAGGGAAATAGCTCTGCTCTGCCTCCTGGGGCCTCTCCAGGGGCTGGGCTGGGTACAGGATTCCAGTTCTTTCCAGCACTGAAATGTTATATGGTCCGATTATTAGTTCCTGAATCATTTTCCCTTCCACAACTTCTACAAGAAGCCAAATAAAAATTATGGCACTTCAAGATATTAAGTCTGAAGACACACAAAAATAAAAATGGAAAAAAATACTACTGTTTTTCAAATTATGGAATACTCCTCAAAAGCTAGCTTTAAAGTAAACCTGGCAATCCCTGTTTTCTAACTGCATAGACTACAATTTCAGAGACCTGTCTTCCAATGGCAGCAACACCAAGCACTCCAGCTGGGTGGAACCTCCAGCCTCAAACAGCTGTGATACCTGTCAATAATCCACTAAATGCTGGAGCCTACGACCCAGAGGAAGGAATCCTCCTACAAGGTACCTATTCCCACTCCGGTGCCAGCCTACACGCATTTTTCTGAAAAACACACTTTTTTTGGAGTCCTTTGCGTGACTTTGATTCCCTATTTAAAAGTGAGAAAGAAAAATAAATCCAAAGAGCCTACCTGTCCTGCTGAGAATAATCATTAAGAATGTTACTTCATGTGAATATGGTCAGAGGATATTCAAATGTACAAAATGGAATATCCTCAAGGAGCCCAAAGTCTAGCTGTAATAAAAAAAAAATTATGGAGATATATTTTATTTCAGAAGATTCTTATCTATATTATTACATTTAACCAGGTCTGGTACTCTCTCTGGTGTGTTTGTTTAGCATATCTCTCTGCAAGAACAGGTTATGTTGGACAACAGCACTGGCATGTTACAGAATTACTCTCGGTGACCTCAAACCAGTCATTTGACTTCCCTCGGACTCAGTTTCACCTCTGGAAAATGAGGTTTGAGGTGAGATAATCTCAAAGGACTTCCAACTCTGAAATCTTGACACTCAGAGCCAAACTCCGGAGTCCTCCATGTCACTCCACTGGAAGCCGGCATTAATATCGATTCTGGGACTGGCAGGTCCTGACGCGCGGGGACCACATTCTATTTCGTTTTGTAAACCTAACAATGCCGGTGCACAATTTTAAAATTGGGAAAATTAACTTTAGAGCATCGCCCAGAGACGGGGAGGCTGGTCACAGGGTATAAAAAGGGATGCGGGGGTTGGGGGAGACTTAAAAAGCAGAATGCTCGGCGAAGATACTCTAACACCCATTCAGGATTCCACTGCCCGGAAGAGCCCAGAGTGACTACGCTGGGGAACCTGCTAATTCACGAGCTTCTGAACTCCTGCCAGTGCCCAGCTTCGGATGCTCAGGTCCAGGGAAACGTCCTACGTGGGAATCCGGACTTACAATGGCCAAGTGGCATCCTGGACCAGGGCAGCCTCTATTGCATGACAATTGGTGCTTAAAAATCAGCCAATGGCCAGAGCCAGGGAGTCCACCGCGCGCAGGCGGAGGGGCGGCCGGGCCCTCGGGCCGGTCTAGGGAGTCCAGCGCGGCGGGCCCCGCGCCCCCAGCCCCGGCCAGACCGGCGGTGGGGAGCCGAGAGCGGGCTTGGACCCCAAACTCTGCTTCCCGCAGGGAGGGCTCCCGGAGTGGGAAGGCGGGGGCTACGGGGGGCTACCGAGGAAGCGGGGGCGGTGGGTCCCCTCCCTCCCGGGCCGAGGGGCCGCGTAGAGCCCCGCGGCGCTGGGAGGGGCAGGGGGCGCGCTCGGAGCCCGCCGCGGCGACGCGCGCCTACCTCTTGTCAGAAAGGCCGGGCCCGGGACGCGGGGCGGCGGGGGGCACTCATGCCGGCGGCTCCGCGGTGCCGTCGCCGTTCCACTGCCCGCGGCCGCAGCTCCGCGGCCGGTTCCGGGGAGTGGACCGGGGGGCGGGAGCGGGAGGGGCGCGGCGAGGCTCGAGTGGTTGTTACGGGTGACGGGGAGGGCGGGGCCGGGCGGCCGGAAGGAGCGCGCGTGCGCGAGCGCGGCCGAAGGACGGAGGCGGGCGCGACGACGGTTGCTAGGGGAGGGGGCGGGGAGCCACAACCCGGGCCGAGCCGCGCTGCGCAGGCGCCATCTCGGGGGCCCGGCGGGCGTGGGAGGAGTTCGGAGCTGGCGCAGGCCCTGACGCACAGGCTGGTCTCACTAGAGGCCGCTGGCTCCGCCCTGTTTGCGTCACCGGGCGGGGCTAGGACGAGGGGCGGAGCGAGACGCCAAAGTGGGTAGCGAGCTGGGCGGGGAGTTCCGCTGAGTTGGAGCAGGCCGGTCCCCGCCCCGGCCTTCTGGTTTTGTGGCTGCCGGGGGCCGGGGCCAGGGCGCTGCCCTGAGGTGTGACCGGCGCCGGAGGTCCGGTGCCTCCTCATTTTTTGTGCACTGCTCAGGAGCGGCAGGCCTCCCCCTGCAGTGCCCTGACCACATTCTCGCCGAGTAATGCAGCTGAGGCGAGTGTCAGGGCTTGCGAGGGGCTGGGCGGAACCGAGCATCATCTTGTCAACAGGTCCAGGCCCCGCAGTGGAACTGACGTGAGACCAGGTCAGCCCCTCGAGACCAGGAGGGCTGCGTTCCAGCGGGACAGCGCAGTTCCAGCGCCAGCTTTGAAGCACGAGTGTGATACATGCTGAGACGCGGGTCCTTAAGGGGGGCGAAGGACTGGAGAGGGCCACGGCGCACGGCCACCCACACGTGATTTCTCTGGCGGTGTCACTGCTGTGCCCTTTGTATTAGTCACCCTGGGTGGCTGCACATTGGATGCTCTGCCATCGCACAGCCCATTTCCGGAACTGCTTTGGAATTTCCTTCAGGGCCAGTTTAGCAGCCACACAAGAACGTCATGGATAACTTGATCACACCTTGTTTTTCGCAAACCATCATTTTCCAACTTGAGCACCCACACTGCTCACTACACTCAGCTCCGACTGGCTTTTGCCTGTTAGTAAAAATCACATCCACCTTCAAAAGATGCTTTCAAAAAGAGACGTCCCAGGAATGATGAGCCTCCCGGTAGGAGTAAACAGCAGCACCTATGAAATTGGTCTTGCCGAAAACTGACCTGATCTGATAAACCTGTAGGTGTAACCACCAATTTACAGGGAGCAGAGAACAGAGGAACATGCCAAATGATACCATGGCGAAGCAGTTGCCCAAGCATCAGCTGGGGGTAACCCTGCATGACAAACACATTCTTTATCAGATAAATTCCAAAGGAAAAAACCGGGGGTGGGGGTGAGGGCCTAAAGGAGATTGGGAGATCACTGAGCCATACACTTAGGACTCCTGCACTTTTGTCTGCATATAGTACACTTCAGTTAAAACTTTTCAAGAAAAAACAGACCTGAGACTTGGACCAATTGCAGTATATGAACTTGATTTCCATCCTGATTTTCACAAATAAAGTGTTATGAAACCAGGGAGATTAAAAACATTGAACATACAATGATATTAAAAACTTACTAATTTTTTAGGCGGGATATGGTATTATGGCTAAAATTTTTCAAAGGAGCCCTGTCTCTTAGGGACATGCTGAAATATTTTGGAGTGAAATGATGTGATGTCTAGGATTACCTTCAAAATAAGCCAGCTGGGGAGAAGGGGGAGTAAAGGCTTAGATGAAATAAGACTGGTCTTAAGTTGATAATTGTTCATTGTATGATTGTGTCCACTGTTGTATATGTTTGTAATAAACAATAATAAAACATTTTTCACAAAAAAAAAGATGGTCTGTCACCACTGAGGCTGGCAAATCAAGACATAATTACAAAAGAGGTATTTGAAAATGTCTCAAGCAATAGTAGTATCGTTGGGATACAAGAACAGACTCCCAAGGAATCTAATTTGAAGGAAACAACACTTGTTTAGATGTATAAATTATGGTATGTTTGTTTTTAAATCAGTTTTATTGCGCAAGTGTCCAAAACCTACAAGAAACTCTACTGAGGGACATACTACAGAGTTAAATGAAAAGAAGCAGTCTGTCTTGTTAGCACATGTCTGCAGAGCTCTTACTATATGGCAGACCCTGGGTGAGGCATAAAGATGAGTAGAGTGTAGAGGGGAAAGCAGGGAAGTCAGGGGATCAGCTTTGGCAGCCGGTGACCAGAACCGCAAAGTAAAAGTGTCATGACAAAATAGCAGTGTATGTCCCTCACCTGTGAATGAGGTCCAGGGCTGGTATGGTGCCTCGATCACCAATATCAATTGCCAGCTCCCCCAAAGGACCATCAGAATAATGTGCTGATGAACCAAACGAAGGCCAAGGTGATTGAAGCAACAACAGCAGGAGAGAGCTCCACCTGGACCAGAGTCAACCTGGAGACGCTCTTGGTGCATCAGCTGGGGGAGGTCAGGGGAGACATTTCAGGGTGCATGGGTCTCAGCTTAAGTGTTCAAGGCAGGTCTCTCAAAGCTGAGGCCTCAGAAGGACCGGGCCAATGTGTGATGTAGTCGTGGATGCCTGGTGGACACAACAAGCCGAAGGTCTCGAAGATTCTAGTCTTGTTAAGTAAACAGTTGTCTGATAAACAAGCTGTTTGCCCAAGTGAGCAACCTAACCTCCTGAGAGGGGGGGTTGTTTGCCAAGATGAGCCACCTTTTGTTAGAAGACATTATTTTTCATGAGTATCCTGAAGCAAACAGTGAAGCTATTTATTGGTTTACAGTCTTATCTTCCCCAGGCAAGAATTCTCTAGGTGAAGAGTCAGTCATATTGACACAGGAGTCCTGACAGTTAAGCTGTGTGGATTCAGGTGGTCTCATTTCTCATCATCAGGACCATGGGTTCCTTCTGTCTCGCTGCCTTGCCCGTATCTCAGTATCGCCTTGGCCCCCAGCCAGCAGGTAGGAGCGAGCAAAGAGGATCAAACACCCTTCCTCGAATAGCACTTTGTCAATGCAGGTTGTGTGTGTGCACAGAACAAAGGGCAGGACTGGTGGGACCGTGAAACTCTAGTGGAGATGACATGATGTGGCCTCCCTGGTCTGCAACAGCAACCCTGCTCTCTTCTTCAGACTCTCTTGAAAGTCGTACTAGGAGAGTATTCTAAGACACCCTGAGTGAAGCCCCAGCTCGATGAGCATTTTTATTAGTGAACTCCTCACCTGTCTGCTGTCACCTCTCATTTGGTGGATGGAAGCCTTGATGGGTGGCCTGGAAGGGAGACCGAAGATTCCTAAGTTCTGGCATCCACAGAGAGACCCTCTGGCTCTTTTGGGTCGCTCAGCTGAGTTACCACTAGGAGCTAGAAGCTGAAGCTGCCGTTCCGTGGGGCCACCTCTGGCTGATGTGGTCAGGACGTGGTATCAGTGGCCTGCTCACACCTGCCTAGGCACCGACGCTGTGGCTGTTACATCTTTCCCAACAGGATTGACCGGAGCTGGGGACACTGTCCCTGGTCCCTACAGCCACATCTTCTCCATTGCTCTTAGTGCTCTCAGGAGTCATCCCAAGGAAAGCATGGGAAGTTGGTGACACTGAGAGGACTGGGGGTATGGATTAAGGGGAGGGTCATTGCAGGAAAGACACTGGGAGGCAGGTGACAGTCTTAGCTCAAATTTCAGCCTGCAGAGCCCCAATCTCTTCCTCACCACAGCCAAAGAAATAGGAAATAAAGGTCTGAATGATCTCTTTGAATGTAACTAAGACTTAGGGTCAATTAAACATCTAGGCTGTGTGAGAGGCCCAGTGGCACTTAATCTTATTCTCCGGGGGCCCGACCCACCCTGGCATTTGCCCCTTGCACATCGGTCAGTCCCAGGGACATGTCCACTCTCCTCCATGTCTGGAAGAGATTACCTTCTCACTTGATGGTAAAAGACAGCCTTGCAAAACATGACAGATTCTCCTGACATGGGCCATCTGGCAAATTTTCCAGCCTGGAAAAGTGTGGAAAATGTAGCTTATCCCACAGGCACAATTTCCTAATGGAGCTGGCAGTCATCCAGTGGCCTTGAGCTAATACCATTGCATCATTCCCAACCTGGGAAAACTTCAGGCCAAGAAGCCAGATCTGCAAAATTATCATCTGACCTGACACATTTCTAAAATACCTCAGTTCAATCTGGAGAGGCAAAGCTCCCCTTTCCTTAATTGGTTTCGCTGCCAAAAAGCCTTCCTTCTTCCAGGGCCCTCTTAATGCTGCTGGCAGAATTCTCTTTCAAAACAACACAAACACAAACTCACACCTTGGCTCAAAACCTACATGGACGACAGAAATAAATTGAAGCATCCAAGCCTGTCATCTGAGATCTTCTATAAATCTTGTCCCCAGCTTTCCTTTGTCCAGAAAGACTTTCTTTCCACCTCCACTCTGTCTGTTCATTTATTCATCCCTTTGTTAACTCAGCAAACATTTATTCAGCTCCTTAATTTATTCAGACGCCACATTAAGCACAGGAGTGTAGGAAGATACACTATAGAAAAGCAGATTGGCCTTCCAGGTGCTCAGCCTACTGCATAGGGCAGCCATGGAAATGGGATAAGACTTCCTACATGGAAGATGTAGCTGGTAAGGTCTGTAAGCCCTCTCTAAAGCCTTTCCTGTCACCTGTTCTTTTTCTATATGCGCCTATGAACTTGGCATTTCCACTTAAGGCATACTGCCTTCAGTGAGATTGGAAGAGAAGCGGGTCTGTGTTCCATCAGATTGTAAGTTGCTTGGGTCCTAGGACCGTATCCACTCATTTTCTTCTCCTTGTCATGGCACCTGCCATTTGCCAGAACCCTATTAAATATTGGGTGGGTTGAAGTCATGAGCCTTACATTGCATTGGATCTTTATTGTGGGTGCATTAGACACATCTCTCCGTCCCATGGGCTGAGCGGAGGCATCCTTGGGGGTGGTGCTCTCCTCACGCTGTTCTGTCTTCCGCGTCACCAAGCTAGGACACCGAGCCTAGGGAAGCAGCCCAGCGTAAGAGACTTGCTACCCCGTGCCCTGGGAAGCAGGGTGCTCATCCGATGAGATTTAGGACAACAAAGGAGATGACCTGAGGCCCTTCTCGGCTTCCAGCTCAGAGACATACAAATAGCCAACACAATCATACTTCTTTTTGGTTTGTTTGCTTACAAAATAGAGTCCTCGCTTCTGGGACCTGATGCAGCTGTGGTAAGCTAGATCGGGACTTAGCAAGTTAGCAATTGCTCCCCAGGCTGCTCCTCTGCTGGTCACACAAGATGGAGGGGGGATTGGCCTGGCAGGAGCAACGGAGTATCAACAAGGGACAGACCGAAGGTCACACAACAAGATGACACCAAGTGAGGGATCAGAAGCAGAGCATCCTAAGTGGGATCAGTGATGCCTTTTTCCCAAGGCTACAGAGGGAAGAGAAACGCCTGCTCCACTTTCAGTCCCGTGGGCAGAGTGGACCTCACAGAGAAAAGACAGAGAGGGCCCAGATCTCCCCCACTTTCTCTTTGACATGGATGAAAGAGAGGGCCACCTCAGACCCCGAAATCTCCTGTCACCCCAAAGGCTTTTGGCCATGGTGTGGGGGTGGGGGGTGTTTCTGTTCAATTCCTTATTTGGAGTGCAACCCACAGCCAGGCATCCCGCAGCTCTGCCTCCAGAATGTTCTGTGACCTCCTGCTGAGAACCACACATCTGCTCATTTCACACCTCGCGGAAAATCCCATCTCTCAGCCCTTCCCACCTTGGCAGTGCCCAACTGAACCATCTCTGTAGCCCAGAGCAGCTTTTAAGACCTTTCTCTTCCAAAGGAAAAAAAAAAAATGTTTTAAATTGGATGTTGATGGGATTTGGTGTCAGAAAATGTATCTCACAGGGTTGTAAAGCTTAGATAAGAGAATGTTCGTGAAAACACTTTGTAAATGGTTAGGCTCTGAGTGAACGCTTCCCATAGCCAGGCATCTCACAGCTCTGCCTCCAGAACATTCTGTAACCATAGATTATTATTACCCTGCCTACCCCTTTGGTTGGTTAGTAGTATCATCCTCTATTTATTTAGATAAGTCCTTCCCCATCTGAAATTTCTCCCAAACGGAAAAATAATACAAAGGGTGCTGATCAAAAGACCAGTCCTCACGTGAATGGCTGTAAGCACAGACCTTACTTACCTCTTTCTTGGTAAACCACCTTCTATAATTACAAGCTACATAGGACTTGAAGGTGTCAGGGACGACAGGCAGAGACAGTTGTCTTGCTTAGCTGGGCACGAGAGCCCCTGCCACCCTCCAAGTTCAGAGAGCCCACTCCACTCTTAAAATGCTAACGTGTGAATGCATAACCGTCCCTAAAAGGGACCACGCCTCCCAGCCCTGCCTCACATGGTGGCCTCTGTCAGGTATGGTGCTCTTGCCAAGGCATGACCTTTAGCTGCCTCCAGGACATTGGGGGCGGGGGTGGGTGTTCTACTGCTCCCCAGAAACCACGCTGACGCAAAACCAAGAGCCCGTGCAACCCTCCTCCATACCCCAGGGACACAAGGTACACCTTTGAACTTTACACAGCAGGAGAGAGAACTTTTTAACCACCAGGCTCAGCAAGCCCTCGCAGCCTGAGGACAAAGACGTCACTGTCCTTGGTGACCAAGGCTGGCCTCTGTGTCCGGACTGGCCTTATTCAAAGGTTTGGCACGTGCACCTGTCACGGGCAGGCATGCAAAGGACTTCTCTGGGGACCAGCCTCTTGGCAGCTCAGGAGAGTCTTCCAGGAATCCCTGTGATGCTGGCAACCTGAGTTTATTCCATACTCAGGGAAACCGAGGCACAAGGAGGCCAGGTGGTTTAATCCCTACAGAGTATTCAGAACTTTGGAGCCAGCCGACTGTGCCTCTCCCCCTCCTCCACGACATCTAAATATGGTGCCCTATTTAATTTAGCTAAATGAAGACATCCAGCTGAAAACAAAAAACAACTCCTGTTGCCGACCAACTATATTGGGCCGGTGCTAGGCACTTTCCACGCCTCATCACCGATCCTCAGAGGAGCCCATTTCACAGATGGGGACACCAAGGTACACCCAGGGTAAGTAACTTCCAGGGCAGAGAATCTGAACCCAACACTGACTCCTATGCCCCCAGGGGTATTTCCGTTGCATTAACTTCTCTCTGCTTCACTCAGTTTCTTTGCACTTTGGTCTTTCTTCCAGTTTCCCAGCTTCGAGCTGTGTATGCCCAGGTGTCATGGTGAAAAGCCCATCAGCCATAAGCACGTAAGGCATGGGGATGCCAGGTGCGCAAACACCGGATGGATGTGGGTGCCCGGACATCCTCGGACATTCTGCCAAGCAAGCGAACCAAGAACATCTCTGGCCTTCAAGTCTTTCCGTATGGGCCCTGAGTAGCAGTTCAAACTGTCTTGACTTATAAATTCTTTAAATAACAAGTGGCAAGATCCTGTATGACTTTCTAATGTTCCATATATTCTCCCAACCGTCTGTTGTTCTGAGATTTATAATCGTGGGGCTCCTTGGGTGCCTAGCACATGACATAATGGAGGGAAGAAAAACTCCACAACTTTGCAAGCGAGGGAACACGTTGAGTTTTAGAATGCTGAGTGAAGTGAAAGGTACCCTTAACTTGGAGAAAATAACAGGGAAGTTTCTTTCTTTAGCTTTCATCACCCCTCCCTTTTTTTTCTCGTTATCTCTACCTAGCGTGGGGCTCGAGCTCACAACCCCAAGACCAAAAGTCGCATGCTCTCCCGATGGAATCAACCGGGCACCCCAAGAATAAGTGAATTTAAAGAAAAAGAGAAGTGGGGCACCCGGCTGGCTCAGTCAGGAGAGCATGCGACTCTTGATCTCGGGGTTGTGAGTTCGAGGCCCATACTGGGTGTAGAGATTACTTTAAAAAATGTTTTTTTAAACTTATAGAAATATAAAAAAATAAGTCCACTTATTCTTATGTCCTAGAAACAAAGACTTGGAGGACAATTTGAATATCAAGGCAGAGTAAAGCTTCTTCTCTGATGGAAGACGTCGAACCCACTGGCTTAACTTCTGCAACGCTTGCTTTAAACAGTTGAGCAACTCTGCAAGTTGAAAGGAAACAATGATTTCCAGGCAGTTGGATCAGACTCAGTTGAAAACAAAACAAAAACAAAAACAGAACAACCCTGAGGAAGTTTATGGACTCAGGAAAACCCGAGGGGCCTCCAAGGGGCTTCTGCTACCTCGACCCTCACCCTCAGATTTGCCACACTGGGACCTGGAGCACTTCCAAGACCCCTTCATTCATCTTGACCAAGCCTTTAACATTGAAGAAGGCTGCATCAAATAATGTTTGGTGAAAGCTTAGCAGCCTTCATGGCCAAGAACAAAACTTAACATTGAGCCTTAACACCCTGAGTCAGGAGCCTTTTTAGCCCAGCCCGGCAGCCCCCATCAGTGGTCTGGCTCACGTGACCCAAGTGACAGATGTACCTACAGAATTTCGGGCCCCACAACTGCCAGGTGGGTCCCGTTCAGCTCCCGATGTTCCCAGAGATAAAACAATATCCTGGAGCAGAAACAGCACAGGGTTTTTGTTGCTGCCGAGGCCATGAATATCTTCCACTAGGAGCAGCCAGGTTTCACAAACAGAGTAGACCCAGCAACACAGTTCCCACCAAAGCCCTCAACAGCAGGTCCAACCACACAAGGGTAATTTTAAATTTTTAAAAATTAATGTAGTGTTTTAAATAATCAAATAAATATCTGCCCTAGGAGACTCTCCACACGGCACCCATATCACCATGGCTTCACTCCTAAAGCCCGCCTTTGTTCAGGCATTTGCCCTTGTCCATATTCCGTTTCCCGGGGAAGCTGGGTGCTGCCCCAGCTCCAGCAGGTGCACCAGGTACGGCTAAGGCATCCCTCCTGCCAGGGACTGATTTAGGAGCGAGCGTGTCACCCAGTTCTGACCAATGACACCGGCAGGGGAGTCTGCCAGGAGGTTCTGGAAGGGTCCCTGCACTCTGACAAAGGAGACACATGAACAGAAATCCCCTATTTCTGTGTGTGGACACTGTTGTGCCTGCTCTCTCCTGGGACGGCTCCAGGGTACTGTGTGCACGAGGGGAGCCAGCATTTCCTGGGGAGGATGCTGGGGCCACAGAGAAGAGAGGAGGAGGAAGCAGATGGAGTCTTTTGTGACATGCCCTGGTCATGTGTGGGGCTGTCCTTCGTCTGCAAGACATCGAGGCCTGGGAACCCATCAGCGTCCTCACTGGGCAATCCAGTTTGACGAAGGGTTTTTTTCTGTTCCTTGTGGCTAAAAGCAACCTGAGCACATCCTCATTTTAGAAATATGGTTAAATGCAGAAACGAATAAAGAAGAAAATAAAAATCCCCTATAATCCACCATGCCATAATAACCACAATTTATGTCTTGGTGCTTTTCCATCACTCTTCGGCAGTGCTAATTTTGATGTCTACATTACATAAGTAATACACTTGCTTCCTGTAAAAAAGTTCCAACAGTGCAATTGTCTTATGCAGAAAGGAAAAAGCTGCTGGGGAACCCTCCCCGCCCCACCGTCGCCTCAGTGGTGGACCCTTTGCGGTGTTTTCTGAGGTATGCTCTGCTCCTGACCAATGAAGGTCCATACATACATAAACTGTAGTGTGCCTCCCATGGGGGTGGGGGAAGGGGAAGTCAAGAAGAGGAAACAGAATGGGACGGGAGCTTCCACACCCTTCTGCACGAAGGGCTGGCCTGGGCAGAGCGACAGAGTGGAGAGATCCTGGGCTTTGAGCAAAAGGATCTGGGTTCAAATTCCTGAGTCACAGTCGAAGGCTGTGTGGCCTTGGGCAGGTCCCTTAACCATTCTGAGACTATGTGCTCATCTGTAAAACAGGAATAGTAATGCCTAACAGAGTTGTTGTAAAGGTTGGAGATAATGTGCAGGGTATGACCATTATTCAAAATACTTGTCAATTTCCTACATCTCTTTCTCGACTCTTCTACCATATGCTGAACATCCTTTCCCCTGCCCTCTGCTGTCTTGCTCCCTCTGCATTAGCCGGGGGTTCTTAGTTGCAGACAACAGGATCTGCTACGGCTGGTTCAAGCCAAAGGGATTTCTGAAGGGGCAGAAAGCTCACAGAACCATTGAGACGGCCGGAGATGCAGGCACTGGGCAGGCTTCCAGGAACAACCGACTCCCCGAGTCACACCGAAGAACCAGCTCCCGGCTGCACCTCCCCGGGATTAGGGAACTGCCAAGTCAGGATGTTGCTGCCTTGGCTCCCGCCTCCAGAACCGGGCTGGCTCTGCCAACAATCCATGCCAACAAAACGATGCCCTGTCCCCTGCCTCCACACCAGCCAGTTCCGAATCAAAGTCTCCTGCCAGAGCGTGCAGTTAGTTAAATCTAAATCACACCTCTGAGCCCCAGCGGGGTTTACGTGTCTACCTTGGAAAGGGGATATCTACAATCTGGAAATCTGAGCACAGTCAGAGTGTGGAGAGAAGATTCAAAACCCTTGGGGCAGCCTCAGAGTATGGTGGGGAGTATAGATCAAGGATACACGCTTGCAAGCCTCGCACCTGTATCCTGGTCCATCGGAGATGGTATTGGGACGTGATCCAGTTCAACCCCAGCTGAGCTCAGATGCAAGAGGCAAAACCAGGAGATTGATCAGGCCATTCCTAGGGGCACAGGTTTTGATGGGTCCTTCACCTTTCACACTTTTAAGAACATGCTTGGGATGGGGTTTAGGACCTACTACCCCCAAATATGGCACCTTGGCACATTAAATAGTGCACACTGAAGGGATTTGAGAAAACAGCAGAAGCAGAAAGTCCTCTCCCACCTCCCCTGGCTTCTCCCCTGACACAGGTCATAAAATTCTGCCATGAGAGGAGCCCTCTCTACAGCCGGGCAAAGGAGCATCCTTACCTCTGGTGACGGGGATGCCAGGAGGAATTCCAACCAACAGACCTTGCTGAGCTTACCCCAGTTTACTGCCCCTTACCTCAGATTCTTCGACCTATCACATTCCTCCACGGCCATCCACTCAGCATCAAACCCCACACAAAAATGTTCAGGTTTGCGGCTCGACTGGTGGAGCGTGCAACTCTTGAGCTCAGGGTCGTTGAGTTCAAGCCCCACTTTGGGGATGGAGATTATTTAAAAATCAAATCTTAAAAAAAAACAACTCAGATTTAACTGTTTCTTCAACTCTTCACTTCATTATGACAGCTCCCATGTCCCAGAAAACGTCTATTAAATAATCATGTTTTTCTCCTGTGACTGTCTTTGTCAGTTTCATGTTCAGGCCTAGCTGGGGACCCTAAGGGAGTCCAGGGAAACTTCCCCCTCCCTGTGCTTGTCCATTCTAATCTCCAGTTGATGAACTCTCGGGCAGTGTAACAAACTAGCTGAAACTGGTTTTGGCGCAGTAAGAGAAAGTATTGTCAGTAAGGGGCAAATGTAGCCCGAGGGTCAGTGAGGCCTGGGAAAAGTCCCCACAGTCACGTTCCTGAAACTGTTCCTGTTTTTTCTAAGCTGTGGTCTCTTCTCTGGCATGGGATCAGAACGTGTCTGTGCAGCCTCGAATTTGTCCAATAATCCTGCCTTTGCACTGGAGCAAGGGTGCCCAGCATGTGTGAGTGCAGTTGGCTCATGTCATCCAGGGATCACACACAGAGCAGAAGGACGAACCACTACCACGGAAGGGCCCCTCAGGACAAGCCAGACTGGCCCTCTTCTTATGGATGATGTTGTTAAATACCTGCACTTGTAGATGATATTTTGCACTCACTCAGCATGAATGATTTCATCAAATACTCCTTCATTCTGCAGGTGGATAAAAGAAAGGCTGCTTCCTGTCCTGCCAGGGAGCTGGCATCCCTGACAACAGCCCAGTCTGCTCTCCCACAAGGTATGGGCTCTGTTGCGAGCTTTTCCTCCAGCTAAGGCACTGACATGAGCCTCATCATTTCAACTCCTGAAAGCAGCAGCTGCTTGGGGCACCCAAGTGAGCCTCTGACTCTTGATTTCAGCTCAGGTCATGATCTTGGGGTTGTGAGATTGGGCTCCGTGCTCGGCATAGAGTCTGCTTGAGATTCTCTCTCCCTCGGCCCTCCCCCACTCTTGCACACACACACACACACACACACACACACACACACACGCACGCACTCTCTCTCTCTCTCTAATAAATAAATAAATAATCTTAAAAAAACAACAACAAAAAGAAGCTGTTTATTCCAGCGTAGGACAGAAGCCTGCAATTCACCCATAATCCCTAAGGAGAGGTGGCCAAGTGATCTTCTAGACTCTTGTCCTTCTCCCAACGCTGCAAGCAGAGGCTCATTTTCCCGCATGTTCATCTAGCTCTTGGGACTCTGCGCGGGAGGAAGGCACCGCCAGCGCTGCCTTCCTCTTATTGAAGCGGATGGGATGGTTACTGGAAGGTACTAGTTATTTCTTTCCTGTTCTAAACCTCCTGGGGTTACCTTGCCCGTCAAAGCCTGTGTTCCCTGCGTGCTGCGACAGAGGCAATGCTGATGGCGGGACGCAGGGACAAGAGCTTCTAGACGCGCCGCCCCCACGCGTGCCTGCACACACGTTAGAACAATCAGGTTCCTGAGGCTGCACAATTATACCCTTGACTTAGGAAAGATGACCTGCTGTGGCTGGGGCCAGGGCTCTCCTTAGGTTAAATGCCATTTCTGGAACAGCAGCTGGAAATACACTGTCTTTTGTTACCTTTGGACCTAGTGGCGCGTGGGATTGTCTTCCGTTTCAGAAAAGTGTCCATTGTTACTTGGAATTGGTGGCTCAAAGGACAGCCCGGTCTCATTCACATTCCTTCCCTTCTTCTTCCCTTCTACTTAGGGTGACAGACGACCCGGTTGGAGACAATGTCCGTGTATGCCTGTTGACTCAAGGTACTTATTCATAATGCCCCCCTGTCACTCTCAGAAGTGACCTGGTTGGACGGTAAATTTTAAAGTCATTGATTTGTAATTGTTGTTGAGAAAGAGGGAGACAAGACCTCTCTGTAGGGATGGACTCCCCCTTGAGAGCCTGCCTGGGTCAGAGGCATTGGGTTGAAGAAAGGAACAGCTTTTCCAAACCCTTCCAAAGAGCTGTCTGATGCGCCCACCCATTACGGCTCTAAGCAGCCCACATACCCCCAGCTCCCAAGGCCCTGGGGAGCCCTACCTAAGCCAGGTGGACCTGTTAGCCTTCTCTGTATGCCCAGATTGGAAACATCGCATTATGCCTGCCATCCAGTTGACCCTGCGGCTGACCAAGATGAAATGCTGGTCTTGCTCTTTGGCCTCCAAGCCTCAGGCCTTCTGGTGGTAGGTTCCACAGAACGTCAGTGCCAGGCTGGTGCAGCGACTGGTCTTCTGGTCCTATCAAGGCCGATTCCACCATTCTATGTAGATTCTCACCTAGGGAGATGGGAATAAGAGGGAGGGGCTGGGCAGGGGTCTTCAGAGTGTCTCAAAGATCTGACACCCCCAAACTTAACCCTTTGCCTCCAGCTCCATGGTAATGAAGGCCTGTCTAACCCCTCAGCCCTACAGTGTTTCTTCCCACAGGAGATGGCCAGGGCCAACAGGGGGATGGGTTTTCCTGAGCAATAACTGGGGACAGGCCAGCTCTATGGAGAACATTCTCATCTAGGGCTTGATCTATGAAGTTACTCTATAATTCAGCAGCTCTGTCTAAAAGCTGTAGAACACATCGATCACCATTAGGCTGTCAAAACATTCATTCAGCTGATGAGAAGAGCTTATCAGGGCTTTTAAAAACACCAATCTTTTGCAAAGATGTTGGTTGGGTTTCTGCATGCCCCCAAAAAGTGTCTTTGCGCACAGATTAGTTCACTAGCATTTACTGCAAAGAAGAGAGAGAAGCTGGAAACAGAGGGGTAGGTGGCGCTCAACAGACCCAGAGATCGCCAATTATGGCATGAAAAGGAGGCTGAACATTTAATTTTGTAAAGATGGGGTGTCAGCCTGAAATCACGGTCCCAAAACTCCCCCTACCCACAGCCTCACCCCCACCCACACCCACACCGCCCACGAAGAGGGGTGAATTCTACAGTCGAAGATGGAGTATCCTGCCTGGTACCTCCTTGGAGGAACAGGACCGGAGGACGTGGAAAAGTCTGTGACATTCTACGGTTGTTCGGACATGCTGTGGCTGATAAAAATGTCTCTTCGAATTTCAAACGAAAAAACCCCTAACCTTGTAGCAAATTTATGTTCATGTTAGATCTCCGACTTGTGAAGCCCAATATAGAAACAGCAATAAAAACACCAGGTTTCGGTTTACCTCGGCCCAGAGCGCCGAGGCCATCATGCTGCTTGCTGCCTGAGGACGCACCGCCCTGTGCCGCCCTCCCTGTTGCCCCCTCTGGAAGTCTGGGCCTCTCCCGCCCGGTAGGGCTTTTGTCCCCGGATCTGCCCTACGACATCCCGCCCCGTCCCGCATGGCTCAGCTGCCCCACTAAACACCCATATGCAAAGGTCAGAATTCATTCCCCCTTCCTCCGGATTCTGGGTTGGGTTCTGCTCATACTATTATTCAAGTTCTTAGGAGATTCTGCCTTGGGGGGCGATCCCTCAAGCCCACCAATCCCCTCCAGCAGCACGCCCACCCCAAAATGGGCTCTTTTGCATCTTTACAGCTATGTGAATTTTTGTAGGGTTTATAAAGACTTAAGAGTCAAACTCTTTCAATTTCTTTCAGTTTCCTTTCCTGCACAATGAACTGACTTCAGAAACAGGCCCTGATGGAGAGGATTTTACATATAAGTGCTCCTGCTTTATTCTGTCAAGCACTCTCAAATACTTGGAAAACATCTCCCACGACCTCTCCCAGTGCTAATTTTGCTCCTTTTCATTTAGGAAACAGTGACTTGTTTTCTGGGTTTTGAAAAGCAAGAGAACACACTGCTTTGGTGGCAACAACTCAGAGGGTAGTCAGAACGCACAACGTCCCTTTTGGGGAGGTGGGCAGCATCCCAGAAGGGCCGTAGCCACCGAGTGAAGACCCCAAGAGCCGTTCCCACCCATACACTGTACACAGAGCCGAGAACGAGGGTCTGGTTCCCAAAAGGGTCTGAAACAGGTGGGGTCCTGGAAGAAACCTCTCCTGCCCAAACTCAGCTGCCAAAGGCGAACCCAGAGGGCTTGGGGCTTTAGGCAGATAATACGACCACAGAAATGCTATGCCCGACATTCCCCGTGTGAAAAAACCACAATTGCATTTAGCAGCTTATTGGTAGCTGGTGGACATCAGACCCAGGAAAGAGCCGGAAGGGCATAGTTCTCTGGAATGAATGCTTACTGACAAAACAAGAAAACAGCTCTGAAGTTAGGAACTGGGAAGAGCTTTGTTGCCGCGGTTTATGACTGTGGGGCTCCAGAAAATGCGAGCCCGCTGGGACTTACTTAACGGTTTGAATTTGTGCCTGACTCCTGAATCCAGAGGTGGGGTGGAGGGGAGCGGCTCCCAGGACCTCCTCAATAATGTCATTTATCACAGATATCCAGGTGGGCCACACAGTTTTGTAAAAAAGGTCCCACTTGGGACGCCTGGGCGAGTCACTCCATTGGGCGTCTGTCTTCGGCTCAGGTCATGGTCCTAGGGTCTTGGGATCGAAGCCAGCATCGGGCTCCCTGCTCAGTGGGGAGTCTGCTTCTCCCTCTCCCACTGCCTGCCACTCCCCCTGCTTGTGCGCTCTCTGTCAAACACATAAATAAAATCTCAAAAAAAAAAAAAAGGTTCCACTTAAAGCAGGGATGGAACACAGACACTGGCACCTTCTTCCCACCCTGGGGAGTATTCCGGGCCTGTGCGTTAGGATAAGAGATTGTGTGTTTATGGCGGAGTCAGGAGCAGCTAAGGCATAAGGTGGGAATGAGAAGAACCACTGTCTTGTGTTGAACTGTGTTGCACTCACGGAAAGCACGGAGGCCTTCAGGATCTTCACTTCGGAACTGTGGTTTGTCCCCAAGACAAGTGATACCCTCAGCCTGGCGGGACTTCAGGGGTAGGTGAGCAGAGAGACAGACTCCCCCTGGCTGATATCTCCTCCTAACTACTTCTTTATCCCGTCTGTTGCTGCAGGTGCGTTTTGGGTGCATTCAGCCTGTGACCCAGAAGGTACCCAAGAGCAGGTGTGTGGCAGGGAAGGCAAGGGGTTGAGGCGGAAGAAACCCGTGCCCGCTGTGCACGCCGAGGTTCTGTGAGGAGGGGTAGCGCTGCCCCATCTTGGACACGGGGGAAGTGACCAGGTCACCTTGCTTGGAGAAGGAACATCTAGGGATCGTAATTTGTTTGTTTCACCTATTTAAAAAAAAATCCATTGTGAAGCATCCTTTTATTTCAACATCTGAACTTTAAAGTTGGATCAAGGGGCACTGGGGTGGCTCAGTCGTTGGGTGTCTGCCTCTGGCTCAGGTCATGGTGCCAGGGTCCGGGGATTGAGCCCTGCATCGGGCTCCCTGCTCAGGGGGGGAGCCTGCTTCTCCCTCTCCCTCTGCCTGCTTGTGTTCTCTCTCTTGCTGTCTCTCTCTGTGTGTCAAATAAATAAATAAAATCTTCTGGAAAAAAATAAAGTTGGATCAAAATTTTAAGCAGAAAAATCTGTTTTTCTGGATAAGAAGGTTGTTCTGCAGGCCTGGAAAGAGCATGTGAGTTTCCAAGGGGAGTGACAACAGGTGGTGGTCCCCTCAAGGCTTAAGTGGTTTTTATTTTTGTTTGTTTTTTTTTTAAGATTTATTTATTTATTTGAGAGAAAGAGAGTGAGAGAGAGCATGAGTAGGGGGAGGGGCAGAGGGAGCAGCAGACTCCCCACTAAGCAGGGAGCCCGACCTGGGGCTCAATCCCAGGACCCCTAGATCATGACCCGAGCCCAAGGCAAACACCCAACCGACTGAGCCGCCCAGATGCCCCTCAAGTGCTTTTAATTCATCTTTTTGAATGTACACCATCAGGAGCTCAACACGGGGCTCAATCCCACAACCCTGAGATCATGACCTGAGCCGAAACCAAGAGTCTGAAGTTTAACCAACTAAGGTACCCAGGGGCCCCTGCACATATATTTTCAACCGAGAAAATAGGACCATACTACTGTACATCATATTTTTAAGTAATTTTTTATTAAAGTATAGCATTCAAGCAAAATCACAGATCCTCAGCAAACGGGTGGGTATCTCGGAGAGATGCACCTGTGTGACCACAGCCCCAGCCAAGAGCTCTCCCATGACCACCCCCCAGAGGCCCCTCACCCTCTTCCCAGTCACCCACGTCCCAGAGGGAACCTCTTCTACACCACAGTCTAGGGTTCCTGTCCGTGACCTTCACAGATGAAATCACACCATTTGCACACAGTATGCTTCCTTTTCTACGGAGCGACCCTTCACACACAGCGAAGAGCCCAAACTCGAGGCGTGTTTTCACGTTTGCACACACTGATGAACTGTCCTGAGGAGGGAAAGGTAAGGATCAGGTCCCGCAAGTGCCCTCCCTCCCCAGAAAAACCGGTTTTCTGACCTCCTGTCACCACACAGCGACTTTTGTCTGATTTGGGACTTCATGTCAATGGAATCCCACAGTTCTTGGAAACCTTTTCCTCACTCACCACAATACCAGGAGCTCCTTTCCAACTGTACAGCCCTCCCACAATCTGTTTACTGGATCGCCCCTTTCTGTCTCTGGTTGCTTCCAATTTCTGATTAATTTTGAGAGCAAAGTATCTGAGACACATCAGGCTTCTCTGAGTCACAGAGGCGGGCCTGCCAGTGGTCAAAATTGACACACTCACAGGGCCGGGTCCTTGCGCCTGGATATCCCCCCCCCCCCCCCCCCCCACCCCCGCCGCCAGGGCAAGCGGCAGGTCCAGTCACTTCCCCTTCCGGAACTGATAGGAGGGAGACTGTCCCCCGCTGAAACAATTGTTCTCTCAGGCTACCGCCTGTCCCTGCAGCCGGGCAACCGAGGAGGCCTTTCCTCCCGGAGCTCGGTCAGCCAATCTAATTACTCCAGTGGGTAAATCACTGTGCAGAGCTTCGGGTTCCAAGACAGGAACTTTTCTCAAGGGTGCTTTGGAAGACAAAGAATGTTCCTGAATGCAAACCAAGTAAACAAGTCCACACCTCTCTTCTGGGTAACTGGACAAAAGTTAAAACCAAAGCAGTTTGCCTGCTGTCGGTTCCAACTATTGTGTTTGCCCAGAAAGTACGGAATTAGGAAGCACGGGGGAGCCCAGCATATTCCAAGGAAAATGTTTGCAAGCTGACAAATCATGATGAAGTATGACGCCACTTTCAAAAACTGTGCATATTGGGAGATCAGCATTTCATGCCTTCAGTGAATGTAGCGGTAACAGTGGGCTACTGGGTGGTGAACTGAGCGCTGGAAGCAGGTAGCTGCTGAGTACTTGCAGATTATTTTGTTCCTTGTACAGTATGTGAAGAGCGGTGCACACTTCTGGTGCAGGATGTAGAACATAAACGCCACAGAAAGTAAATGGAAAGTATAGCTTTGAATAGTGAGTTTTAGTTCTTTCTCCTTCAGAGGGAAGCTCTTAAAAACTCTGCTCAAACACCCTTTGTGACAGTGTCACAGAATTTTTTTCTTGGGATGACCACAGTTCTAACAGAACTGGGATGACAACTCATTTGGGATAGGAAATGCCATGATGCACACGATAATCTATAAAACTGGGGCCCCCTCCCTCTGGCCCCCGTCATGTCCCGGGGGGAAGAGCAAGAGGCGCCTGGCACCAGGCCACCCTCCCTGCCTGTGTCCAAGATGCACAGGCGACCCGGCTGCAGGCCTCGGGCTGTCCTGACACCTCAACTGGGCAGCTGGGGACTCGGGCTGAGGGTGCAGGGACAGCTGGGCCATGCAGGCTGCGTCACCACCAGATCCCGCTGCATGCTGAGCCAACGGGCTGGAGGAAAACTGCAGAAGCGGGCGGATGTGTGGAAGGGTGTGCGGGGAGGGGGCTGAAAACAATGACATAAATCTCAACCCCAGATTGTCCCCTTCAGACCCTGTGGAATGGAACCCATCAGCAAAGGCCCCTTGTCACGGGGACGTTCAGGGGTTGCTGACAGAGCTCAAACACTCCAATATAGCCAAGTTCCAAAACCACTCCACCATTCGCTTGTGTAGAACCTTTAGAACTTCTAGATCTTGGGGTGCCTGGGTGGCTCAGTTGACTGAGTGTCTGACTCTTGGTTTCAGCTCAGGTCATGGCCTCAGGGTTGTGGCATCAAGCCCTGTGTAGGGCTCTGCACTCAGTGAGGGGCCTACTTGGGATTCTCTCCCTCTCCCTCTGCCCCTCCCCCCCCAAAATAAATCAATGAATATTAAAATAAAAGGACTTCTATGTTTTTAAAAGATTTTATTTGAGAGAGAGAGAACGAGTGGGGGTGGGGAGCAGCAGAGGGAGAAGGAGAAACAGACTCCCCGCTGAGCAGGGAGCCCGATGCGGGGCTGGATGCCAGGACCCCAAGATGACGACCGGAGCCTAACCGACTGAGCCACCCAGGTGCCCTAAAAAGGACTTCTAGGACCTCTGTAAGATTAGTCCGGGTGCCACTGTTGCCAGAAGGTCAGGAAGAGCCCCTCTCACGGTGCTCAGTGCTGACGGGCCACCCGGACTGTGGTACCCGCTGTGTGCGGCGCGGGAGGGACTTCTGGGCCGCCCCGCAGGCTTCCCACGTTCCCATCCTCTCCCCCCCATGTGTTCATTAACGGAGTCTGACCGAGAATGGAAATACATAATAGATATTTTGTATTTCTCATACTTGTAATTATTTCTACTTCGTTAGCTTAAAAGCAGCCGAGGGAGACCCTTCACTGCCTGGCGCGGTGGGGGTCAGGTGTGGCCCAGCCGTGGGCCTCTGGCAGCGGCCGTCCCCCTATCTAGAAGGTGCAGAAAAGAACCTTTCGGCCTCAGAAACCTGTTGTTCGAAGGTGCAGTAAACGAGATGAAGGTGAAGCGCCAGGCCCAGCCCCTCGGGGGGTAAGGGGTCCTGAGGTGGAAGCTACTTTCTGCTTGTTCTGGCCCCTGGGGGTCTACGGGGTGCTGGGCCAAATGAAGAAGACTCCTCATCACTGCCCCAGAATCTGAAGGCATGGAAGCTCCACGGGGGGCAGCTGGTTTTCTCCAGGACAGAAGGGACTCCTTCCTGGTAAATCACAGCCCAGGGGGCATTAATGAGTGCCCGTAGGTGACAGGCGGACGCCTGCTCCCGGAGCGCTGTAGAGCAGGTGGGCGCACGCAGATGCTCCCGGGCAGTCAGCTGCCGGGTGAGGCGAGGGCACAGCAAGGGGAAGCTGCCGGGGACTGGAGGCTAGGCTGGGGGGCGGCTTCTTGTCTGACTCTAGAGCAGACCTGAGTAACTTCAACTTCCCCTCACTTGGGAGGAGGTAAGTGGAGAATTTCCTTGACGCCCAACAAAATTAGATAAGAAGAAAGCCAGTGAATGGCCCCAGAATAAGAGGGGTGGTTTTTTGGTTTCTGGTGGTTTTTTGGGGGGGTACTGTTTGATTTTCTGAACCCCCTTATCTGCCTAAACGCAGAGCCTCCTGAAAGAGTTCAAGTGTCAGGGCGCCTGGGTGGCTCAGAAGGTCAAGCGTCTGCCTTCGGCTCAGGTCATGATCTCAGGGTCCTGGGATGGAGCCCCACTTCGGGCTCCCTGCTCAGTGGGGAATCTGTTTCTCCCTCTCTCAAATAAATAAATAGAATCTTTAAAAGAAGAATTCAAGTGTCATAAATGCCCTCCCCAGGCTGGGACTGCAAGCCGAGAAGACGGACTCCTACCAGCAAAGAGCAGTCCACATCCAGACGAGAAATCAGCCTTGTCAAGGAACTACCACATCTACCACCTATTCTAAAGGCTCACTCACCTCTCCTAAAAGTCTTGCTTTCCTGCACGCGTCCGTCTCCCCTCCCCTCCCCTCCGCTTCTTAAGAGGGTAGATGAGCTCTCAATTCTAAGCTTCCTCTAGGCACATTTCTGTGAACTCCACTACAAATCTGCCTTTTTCTTGCTAAACTGTCTTTGTCAGTTTAATCTGCAGGCCTCCAAAGAAAGCACCTAAGAGGGTAGAGGAGTTCACACCTCTCTACTACTAGTAAAGAAAAAAACATGCAAGGACACTTGTTAAGGATGGTGAGGCAGCTCCATCCAGGACCCTCACGATGGGCTGATGGGCGGAGGGACCGTGTGCTGGGATTTACAGTGGGGGAGAGAGATTGGGCTCGACTCCGAGCGCAGCGGGGACAGGCAGGAATTTATAGCCAGGGAGCACGGGAGCGGAGCAGTGAATGGAAAATCACTAAGAGGAAACGTAGAGGGTAAGGGGGCTTCTGGCTAAACTGACCTAGCGGGATTCTCGCTGAAGGCCAGCCAGGGTGTCAGGCATCACCCAGGGGCCAGTGGAGGATGAGGAACCTGGTCAGACATCCGGGAAGCAGAGGGGGCTTCTGGTGAAGCTGACTTAGCAGGGTTCTTGCTAAAACTGCATTTTATAAGGAAGTGCATGGACGGGCCTAGGAGACGGTCTAGGAGCCTGACTGAAGTTTGGTCAACAGCCCTGGATAACAAAGCTCTCCACAAAGGGAGAAGAAAGCAATGAATGATAAGCGTTCAACCACAACATGAGGAGCACCCCACGAAACCCACTGAAGGAACCAAAACACAGAAAACACGATCCGTGATAGAGCTAAGCAGCTGCAGCGAGACAATGGGTCCTCGTGTAGGTTTGCAATTAGGTGACAGTGGAGTGGGGCTGTCCCCTCCCAGGACACTGACAGCATTATCCTCCTCACATTTCAAAGAGGAGGCTCTCTGGTCCTAGGGAAGACATTCCTGAGTTGTGAGATGGGCCAGAGACTAATTTAGCCACGGAACAGAGTAGCATACTTGTGAGAAGGGCAGAGAAGGACAAGCTGAGAGCAAAGGGAGGAGGGGGAAGCCTCTTCCGTTGTTTCTGTACTTTTAAACAATGGCTTATTTTTACAGGGTCTCAGATCCTTTTTTTTTTAATTGAGATATAATTGGCATATAACATTATATGAGTTTCAGGTGTCCAGCACCATGATTCAATATTTGTATATATTGCAAAATGATCACCACACCTGTCACTCTTCCCTGGTTTTCAACAGGGAGAACAAGACCTCCAACTTTTTGTTTGTATTTGTCCTTTCACGCAGTACAGGATTCCTGAAGCCAGACTCCAGAATCACCAGGAATGTCCTGGAATTTTTTTTTCCAGCTGCTTTTAATCACCCATGTTCTCTGAGACCAGGGAACGAGGACCACCGACAGCAGCTGGGTGTGCGGCTGCCCCTCCTCGCCTGAGATTCCCAGACCTCGCTGGTGTGCCTGGCCCGCCGGAAGTGACAGAACCACCCATACGGCTGGCACACGGGGCTCACGCTTTTCCCGTGGGAAGTCGAGTTCCCAAATGTGACACTTCTGGCATCAGCTCTGGATTAGACATATCTAATCACATCCTGGAAGGAAGGAGGACAATTCACTGATGACGCACCTGGTTCCTCAGCTGGGAAGAGTAGGGGGGACACGAGGCATTACAGCACTGTTTGATCGCTGCCAGGAGGCGGCTGTGGACAGGCCCATCTATCAATGTCAAATTTTTTGCAAATTGTGATGGACTCTGCCAACTTATATATGAAGGTCAAATCTTGGGTTTTGCTCCAGAACCAGGTGGGAGACCTTGAACACGTTGCTGAATCTGAGCATCCACTGCTGGGCTTCCCATCTATCTCCTGCTGTTACTGAGAGCTAAATAAAACCAAACATGGATGATGCTCACCAAAAGGCATGGGGCGCTCGTGAAAGCACTCAGCTGTGTTCACTCCTTGAGCAGCAACTTGAAGCATTTCCACTGGAAGGAAGCGCCAGTCCACAGGCACGTGTCTGCCTCACGTGGCCTGTGGGCCCAGCCTCTGCTCAGAGAACGTGTGTTGACACGAGTCAAAATGGCTATGAAGGGGAGAACAGACCCCCAAATATGTCTCTTTGGCGTATTACTTTAAACTGGTTATTTTTAAGAAACTGCAGTGACAGGAGCAGCTCTCACCCTTTAGTAAGAGACATTTCTTTCTGAGGGAAGTCTCCATGTGTGCGGGTGTCTCCTGAGGTCTCTGGAAACTCATCAGTGGAGGTGTGAACTCAAACCCTCACAACACCCTCACCTTGTTCTCGGTGCTTTTCCTGATCACCTCCACAACTGACCCCCCCACCCCAACATCTCCTGTATCTTCAGCTGGAGGTGGTATTTAAGGTGATGGCTTTGGCCATTTGGGGGCGTAACTGTTTTCCTGCCATGTATATAGGAGGTACGCATGTCATTAAACTTCCGCTTTTCTCCCATTAATGTCTCATGTCAATTTAATTATCAGCCCAGCTGAAGAACCGCAAAGGGCAGAAGGAAACCTCTTCCACCCCTGCAGCCTCACAGGGTGACCTCAGCTAACACCTTCTCTGGCCAACTCCCTCAAGCAGCAACCCTTCTGCCCCCTCCCCCACACCACTCCTCCCACAAAGGAAGTTTCCTTTTTGCCGAACTCTTCCAGGGCAGATCCCTAGTCAGAGTATCCTCCCGGGTGGGGTGCCCCGCCCCCCCCACGATCATCCTTAACAAGATGGTCTGTTTCCTAAGTCTGGATCTGTTTCTTTGACACTGGGCAGCAAAATGACAGAGGCCTCAGCAGGGAGACCACTGACTTCAGAGTCAGGCAGCACCAGGTTCAGGTCCCTGGCCCACCGCTAGTTGACTCCTGCCATGTGGCCTTTGCACTTGCTGTTCCTGCCACCTGGAATGCCCTTCCCTCTTCATTCCTGGCCCACTGCTTCTTGGGAGTCAGCTTTCAGTGCAGACACCACCAGTGAGGCCTTCCCTCTCCTCCAAGCCAAAGTAGGAGCCCCAACAGCACTCAAAGCAGGGACCTTCCCCAAAGGTCTCTTCTTTGTGTATTCTATGTGATGGTTTATTTTTTGGGGAGGGGTGGTCCCTCAACTACAAAGCCTGCTCCAGGGCTGTGGTGATGGTCTTGTTCCCCCTGTATCCCCAGTGCCTAGCATGGTGCCCAAGTGTGTGACCCACATTTGTGAATGAGAAAGTGGACACTACCCTGTGACCCTAGGCAGTCACCGGCCCTCAATGAGCCCACTCCCCCCACATAAGAGATTCAAGGAGGTAAGATTTGCAAATTTTTGGCACCTACTGGACCTGTCATAAATTTTGCTTTCTATTCTCTCTCAATTATACAATATTTCCTTTTCTCTCAAAGTTTAGAGAACATTCAAACTAACCTCAAAAGAACTAATCAAGGTTAGGTTAGGACAAAGATTCTATGTTAGAATCCTGGACCATCTCCTAGGCCTGTCTGTAAACTTCCTTATAAAATCTAGTTTTAGCAAGAACCCAGCAAAGTCAGTTTCATCAGAACCCGCAACCCCCCCCCACCTTCCCGGATGTGTGACCAGGTTCCTCATCCTTCACTGGCCCTGGGGTGATACCCGACACCCTGGCTGGCCTTCAGTCAGAATCCCGCTAGGTCAGTTTAGCCAGAAGCCCCCTTACCCTCGACATTTCCTCTTAGTGATTTTCCATTCGCTGCCCCGCTCCTGCTCCCTGTCCCTGCTACATTTGGAACTGAACCCCATTCTATACTGAGGTCTCTTTTCCTTTATTGCAATAGTTCAATAAAATCTGTTTTCACCACTTTAATCCAGCTCTGATTTTTGACAGCTGGGAGGTTTTAAAATTATCTTTCATGTGACTTTAGTTTTATTAGACCAACAGTAAAGAGATGCTCTTCACTGCCTCTCACCGTACCTATGGAACAGGCCTCACTGAATCCAGCTTACGTATGAGGCCTCAGTGCACAGACTGTAAGAAATCATGACCACTACATGCTGTGTCGGGAAATTCTTCCTTAATATAGGAAACTGGCTCATGAATATGTATAGATACTGCTAGTAATCACAACTGGGCATGTGTCAGACGAATTAAACCTACATCCAAGTCTACCATCAATGGGAGATGTACCAAGCAACCAAAAATGCCCTCCCTTACTCCTCAAAGTGTGGTCCCCAGACCAGCAGCACCAGGGAACTGGTGAGAAATGCAGAGTCCCAGGCCCCATCTCAGCCCCACTGCACCAGAATCTGCATCTGACAAATCCCCCAGGGGATTTCTGCACAGGTTGTTTGGGAAGCGCTGAACTAGGCAACACTTCCCTTTATGTTCTTAGAACCAAGATGCATTCTTAAGCAAGTCAGAGATGATGTCTAGGTCAAAGAGAGGGTATAAAACACTGATCTAGGGGCACCTGGCTGGCTCAGTTGGTGGACTGTGTGACTCTTGACCTTGGGGTTCTGAGTTTAGAGCCCTACGTTGGGTGTAGAGATTACTTAAAATTCAAATCTAAAAAAAAAAAAAAAATGGTCTAAACCTGGCTTGGGACAGAGCCTTTTTCTGCCTGATTAAAATTCACAGCCTCCTTCTGGGAAGACTGGCATCCCCTTGACATAATGTGTAAGGAACTTCCTGGGAAACCAGTTACCTACCCACCCAACTGTGAGGTCTTCAGCCAGGATTCTTTTTGTATTTGCCCTGACAATAATCCAACCTTTACATTTTCCTGTAAGATATAAAATTCCTAATGAAAACTGAACTTCTGAATTGGCCTTAGCGGGGCCTCTCCCTTGCACGTGACTGTAACAAAACTGTAACAACATTCTCCTAACTGCACCGTCTGAAAAGCCTTCTTTCACACATCTAAGAAACAGGCAGAATGGGTACATGACGTCATGTGGTTGACCCCGTGCAAAGGTAGAGGTAACGTGGCTGACCTTGTGTAAAGCTGGGCCTGGAAGCTATGGGCCATGTGGGAACAAGACTTAGTGACCAAAGAAAGCTCCACCAAAGAAACAGCAAGACAACTAGGGGAGAACAAGAAGGAAGTGAAGAGGGTCTTGCGAGGCGAGGCCGGGGGCAGGTAAGCATCGTTACCTGCAGGACAGTGCAGAATGCTGGTCCGAGCAGAATTCACACAGGATGATCGTACTGGGGGATGCGCAAGGGGAAGCGGAGGGGGTCTGTGAGTGCTTGGCCTGAATCCACCACAGAGGAAGTCGACAGGCAAGGCTTAAGATGAAGAGTCAAAAGGAAAAGCACAGGGGCGCCTGGGTGGCTCAGTCGGTTAAACATCCGGCTCTCGGCTTCAGCTCAGGTCATGACCTCAGGGTTGAGAGATCGAGCCCCGCACTGGGCTCTGCGCTGGGCTCCACGCTGGGCTCCACGCTGGGCACGGACCCTGCTTAGGATTCTCTCTGCCCCTTCCCCACCTCTCTAAAAACAAACAAAAACTTGTGCATTGTTACTTTAGGAGAAAAACTGAAAATGAAAACCAACACTAAGCAGTGCTTACACATGTGTAAAAAGCAACTGGAGGAAGCAACCCCTTTATTTCATTTAGATTTCTTAGTATTTCCTATTTCCTCCGTTAACTTTCAAAGGGGTGTGGCGATTGGGAACAGAGACGTAACTGGAATGAAGGGGGCCATGGGAGCTTTGCCCATACGTCTCCAGGACGGATGACAACAGAGTCAGTTTCAAAGGGCCACGAAAGTCGGGAGTTTGACTTTAGGAAATGTGTTCCATGGGGACAGCTGCAGGGACGGAACATGGCTTACGGAGCCTCTAGTGGAAGTCAGTATTAAAAGCCCAAGTCCGGTTTTAACAAAGAACGTGCTGTTCAAAGAAAGTAAGAGCCTTATTTCAATTCCATACGATAATCTGAAGGTTTTGCCATTGGTGGCTGAAGGTCGAAAGCAGCGTTGCGTAACCGGGACACAATTGCACAGCTGCCAGGCCCCAGACACGTGACCTCCCCCCTGGCTCACTCGGCTCCGTTTTTAATTACACTTACAAGAAAAGAACTAGTTTTCTGCTGCAGTTGCATAATTGATCTGAAAAAAATATCGGCACGAAGAGTCGTTTTAAACAGTCATTATGTGCAACCATGTAAAACCAAAACAGGCCTCTGCCCTGTGAAGGTCAGAGGAGCATGTCCTTTCTGTTGTCCTCTTGGTAGTAATTTAAATGACACAGATCTACTCTTTGTTGCAAAAAACAAGTACACAGTTTCTACGAGGTGGCAACAGGCTAGAAAACAGACAACGGGTGAGTTCCACGACAGAGGCACACCCGCGTGCCCAGGGCCCAAGGTCCTTGCCACGCTGCCACAGGTCGTCTGCGCGGTCTCTGGCTTCATCTACAAGGTGAAAGGCACCAGGCTGTCCCAGGAACTTATATCCAAATGTCTGTTCCCAGGTCAGTTCCCTGGGGAACACCAGGGTTCCGGTTCAACAGAGCCGAGAGGGAGCCTCCCACAGTCACACCGTCCCTCTGCATAGATCAGGGATCCCCTCAACGGGCAAATCTGTTAGCGCAAGAACAGGAAATACTTCTAATGCCAATACTCTGTTAGCAGGGTGAAACGGTCCTTAAAAGAGGAGAGGAAAAATATGAGCTACTGACTCCTACTTGGGAGTAAAAGTCAGACTTTCCTACAAGGCTCTGCAAGACCAGGCGCCTAGGCGCCTCCAACCCTCCTCAGAAAGCTGCCTTGTTCACTCACCTTTGCCGCTCCCCCTGCCTTGGATGCGCTTCCAGACTTTTGCGTGACTTCCTCTCTTCCCTTAGGATGCAGGCCCTTTCCTGACCACCCTGCCTGAAACTCACACCCTGCTCCAACCCGGCCCTGTTTTCCTTTCCTCCAGAGCACAGCCCACGCTTCTCCCCTTCTCTCGTGACTTCTGGAGTGGGAGCTCTCTGATGGCGGGGAGTTGCCTGTGCCCGGCTCCCCGGCCCAGTCTAACACGGCCAGTGGTCAGTGCTCAATTCAGCATTTTTTTTTTTTTTAAGATTTTACTTATTTGACACAGAGAGACACAGCAAGAGAGGGAACACAAGCAGGGGCAGTGGGAGAGGGAGAAGCGGGCTTCCTGCTGAGCAGGGAGCCTCATGCGGGGCTGGATCCTAGGACCCTGGGATCATGACCTGAGCCGAAGGCAGATGCTTAATGACTGAGCCACCCAGGCGCCCCTCAATTCAGCATGTTTAATTCATCAGAGAGCAGTCAACGAGGTTCCCTTAGTACTCTACCTAAAATGACCTTTGAGACCATAACTCTCTTTTTCCCATTCAACAGCACCTTTAGAATGGACGACAATTGGCAGTCTAAACCACACTGGCTCTGTACAGATCTTGTTCCGTGTTGGTGTGTACCTTCAACAGCAAGTATGAGTGACATTCTCCCGGGAGATGCTTCTAAACCCTTAACACACTGTCTGGGACCTCAAGTACTGGTATGTGTTGCATGGGAGTCCTTACTGAAGAAAATCTCTCATGCCGACTAGAACAACTTGTCCCGGGAGTGTGGACGGCAAGTTGCATTAGAGCATGCTCTTCTCCTCAAGTGCTGTGTCCTGTGCCTGGGTGGGGTTCAGCTCGTCCACAACACGATGAACGCTTCCCAGGAACTGTGTGCATTGGGGACCTCCTGGCAGAGTCCTAACAAGGAGCCCAACCCTGCAGATCAACCTTCTGCAGAACTTTCTGGTGAAATAAGGGCTTGGCTAAATTCAAAAACTAAAACTGGACCAAGTTACAAACGAGAACAGGGTGACTCATCAGGATTGCGTCCTCTAGTGGACAAAGAGAAGTTCAAAACCATGCCTGGCTCTGTTTTAGTTGGAATTTCATTCTGTTTTCAGCAACAGGCCTTTTGTGTTCCACGGCCATTTTTAACATTAAAAAAATTACTTCTTACAGACTGTGCATTTCATTCTCCACTGCTATTATTAAAAGGCCCAGCTCTTTGAAAAGACTGGACTCCTGCCTACCTCAACCGGTTCTCTCTTACATAATCCAGAGAAACAAAACCCACAAATGCTGAAGCCCATCCACGTCATGTCACAGCCTATTTAGATACGTGTTCTTTGGGGGGAGCAAGCACACCATTGCTGCGCCCAGGCCAGCTGGAACCGAATGACTGAGCAGGAGACAGCTGGGGAATATTCTCCGGTACAGCCTCAGCCAAATGCAATCCCGAGCCCCTCCTGTGGGTTCTGGGCTTCCCTCCCGTCACTGACGGCACCCACACACCGCATCAGGGTGCAGGATGGATGGAGGCTGTTGTCTTGGGGTGTGGCCCCAGAGGAAAGGGGCAGAGGTTCAAGGTTAAGCACCCACGTTGGAGCAACATCTGGAGGGGCTAGGGGCTGCCAGGGGAGACTGCAGGATCTCAGCCCACGCCCCTGTGCATCAGAGCAGTCTCTCCTTATCCATCTTTCCCATTCTCGGCAGGCTCTCCCACCCTGAGAGGTCTCAGACCGAGCCATTTGGATGCACCGGGGACACCCAGGCAGCCTCCTCCATTGACGCCAATGCCAAATGAGAACAAGAAAGAGGTACCTGCACATCACCAACGACTCTATTGATATGAAGCACATCCATGTCATCATTCTCCGTGCTAGAAACACGATGTTCCTGCTCAGGGGGGCCCAGGAGCTAATGCTTCTGATTAATCTATCGAACCAAAGGCTGAAGCAACTCACTGAGTGAAGTCTGCAGGCATAGAGCCCCACCGCCGCTCCACGACACACACCAAGGCCAGACAAGGCCCTGCCCACAGCCGCTGTGCCCAAATGGACGTTTACACTCAAGAGAAACACCGCAGAGAACAAAGCACTGAGCGGGCTCCAATCTGTTTCTTCCAGAAATACCAATATGTACAATTTCCCCCAGTATACCTATCAGGACACAATATGTTAATTTGGGCAATTATTACACTTTCTCTAAACACAAGCACGTAGAGGAGGGCAGGGCCCACACTGAGACTTACATGCTCCCCGCGAGAGGCCCAAACGTGACCACAAGCGGGGTGAAAAAGCCAAGAGCCTGTAGCAAACCCACCTCAGTTCCCGGTAGCAGGCAGGACCCTCCCGTGGCCAAGAGCACCTTGTACCCCAGGACCCGACGCACGGCAGCGTCCTGGAAGCTCGCAGCCAGAGACACCGTGAAGTGCCCTGAAAACCCAAGAATGGGCAGCAGCCAGCTCACGGGTCTGAAGTGCTCCCGAACACGTCACCGGATCTGCTGACTCCTCACAAGCGTCCACCTTTGGGAGTCACTGTCCTCGTGGTCCCCGTCTTCCTGAGAAATAGGGAAGTGGCCTGCCTGAGGTCACCCAGCAGGCCAGGGGTGGAGCTGGGATGTGAAAGCCCCACACTAACCCCTCGGGTGCAGACAGCTGGGTACGCCTGCCCTTCAGTGCTGACACGCGAGCTGCCGTCTCCCGGGGTGGTCATGCCCGCCCTCCACAGCGGCGGTCTCTTGGGCTATGGCTCTGTTACAAAGCCCACCAACAGCCTCCCTGGCAAGGCCTGAAGTTACACTCTTGGCTCTGCAGGCACTCGCAAGCCAGACCCTCCTGGGAGTTGAACTGGACAAGAGGAGGGTTGGGCCAGAGGATGTTAAGAGATTCACTAAGTACGTGAAAAACACAGACACGAGCAAGGAGGGCAGGCAGGAACCCTGGGTGTGGCATGACTAGGTCTGAAGGTCTGGATAACCTTTCTAGGCCATGTAAAAACATACATGCCGTACCCTGTCACACAAAGACAGCGTGAAAGAGAGGAACCACCACTGACGTGGTTTTTCCTTTTCTCACATCAATACGCGGCGAACGTTCAAAAGATAGGAAGGCCTGGGAGAACTCTCTGGACGGCCCCCACACGGGGCTAGAGACACAGGTGAGGAAGCAGGGTTGGCAGTGCCCGGCAGCTACTGGTGACCAGTTCTGAGGCCAGCAGCCACTTTCCGGGAAATTCTGTTCAAAGGGAAGTCTGCACAAGGTGACCACCACCCTGAACTACACCAGCCACCCTCTTCCTCTTAGATCACAGACACAATGGTCAGCTCCCTCCACGTCCCCCCACTGCTCACACTTCCTACAGAGAACCATCAGCGGCTCAGTCTCTTCAGCTGGGAACCGTAGTACATCTCAGCAGCAGAGGTGACTCACTGCACACAGGTCCCTGGGGACGAAAACCATAAAGTGCATGAAAAAGTCTCCTTGGGGACGGACCCCTTTTATTTATATCCATACAAAACAGGGTCTTAAGCAGGTCAGCATTCAGAAGTTACATGGTTGAGTAAATGAAACCAAAGAAACCTGGAGAGTTCCAAGCCCCCAACAATTACACTTCGGGTACACGGAACCAGGCAGAAAAGCAGCCAGCACGCATTCAGCCCGCACACAGATCTTCCCGTGAACTCACCTGCAAAGAAAGTACATTTTTATCAGTTTTCACTCTACCTTAGCAAGTCTGTTGGCAGCATAAAATACCCTCCAAGATCTAGTAACTACTAACCAGAATACAACGTGGAAGGTGCCCTGCAGCGACCCCGCCCCTATCAGCCCCTCCTCCTTCCAGGTCCGCAGGCTCCATGGAGGGCTGGCCACCTTCTCTGTGGAGGCAACCACAGTGATCTCCTACCCCCTCCCGCTCCGGGCTGTAATCTGCACACTGCCTGGGGCCTTCCTCAGAAACCTGCCGGCACAGAAGCCACAATGAAGCTAGCCCTGAAACCCCACACCAGCCTATGTATTCCTACATCGTCTTCCCTGCTTCCAGCCACATGGTTCTCCAGTTTGGCCCCAACTCAAGAGCTGCCCACATCCTCAGGCGTTTCCACCCCTCCTGCCCTTTGTCACGTGTCATCGGCTGGAAACAGCCCTTATGTCCTCACGGGGTCACATTCCATTAGGTCCTACTGAGTATGTCCCTTCCTGTGGCTCCATAGCACTTACGATGCCCACCTCTCTAGATTCTAAGCGCCACCCCCCCCCCCCCCCCCCCCCCCCCACCTTAACACCAGCGACCGCTTTTCCTTCCCCTCCCCCTCCGTGCCCCTCCCCAGCACAGAGAGAACGCTTTGACCACAGCAGGCACTCTTCCATCTTCCACCATGTGCTGACGAAGGGAGGGAGCCACTTCACCAGGAGCAGGCTGCCCTCCAGCCAACAGCATAAAGGCCCTGCTATGTGTGAACTCCTCAGAAGATGGGGAGGTTCTCAAGAAGCAGAATTCCTCTCAGCCTTTACCCAGGAGGGGATGAGGTACAGGAGATGTAAGAGTCTCTGGGTGGCGTGATTCCAATAAAGGTGCTCCTGCGCCTCCAATACCCGCTAGGCCTGTGCTCTCCAACAGTGGCCCCTGGCCACACGTGGCTCTTTACATTTAAATTAAAATGAAAAAATCCAGTTCCTCAGCAGCACCAGCCACACTGCCAAGTGCTCAAGAGCCACATATGGCTTGCGGAAGCTCTAACGAACGGGGCAGATACAGACCATTTCCAACACCGCTGGGAGTTCCACTGAACAGCACTGTTCTGTACATAGTGTTGTCTTGAAATGACAGATTTCAGCACATCATCCTCTTGTTTAAAACCCAGAATGACCCCTGCATTCTTAGGAAAGACCAAAACGCTCGCGTGAGCCACAGGTCCTGCGCGGTCTGGCCCTTCTCCACCTTTTCAACTTCACCGCACACCACTGCCCTTGCTTTTTGGGTTACAATGGTCTTCTTTCAGTTCCTCCACTGGCCACATTTGCTAGGTCGCTGGACCTTCAGCACAAGCCACCCCCCTGCCCTTCCACAGAAGGCCACTCATCCTTCAGAGTCCAGCTCAAGGATCCCATCCTCAGGAGAGCCTCCAGCACGCTCCCCGTAACGTTGCTAACAGGAATGTGCTTTCCTTCAGAGTTTCGGCCACAGCTTGAATTATACCCTCTTTAGTGCAATCATTTGATCTCATCTCCCCAAGGGGCTTTAGCCCCCCGAGAACAAGGGCCTGTTCTCGTTCATCTCTGCACCCACCAACATTCAGTACGGTGCACCGCCCAAGTATCAATCGATATTTATGAGGTCAACTGTTGCCAGATTTTTGGAAGCCACTGCTCCCCGGTACTAACTCTAGGGGTTTTCTTTTCAGCGTGGGTCCTGTTTGCAGTATCATACATGATCATCAAACTGCTGCTAGAATGTTCACACCTGTTACTGCAAATTCAAACCCCAGGAAAAACTGCTCCCGGGAATTTACTCTAGGTCAGGGTCGGGCTGTCTGGTACAAGGCTGCACCCACAACCGGGCAGGTTCAGCAACACAGGAGCCTTCCCCCAGACCATCGGCCTTAAGACTCTTCGTCTCGGTGCCTGACGTACCTGGATCCCCCAAACCGAGCGCGCTCTGAGTGCTCTCACCGACCAGGAGGAAAGGGCCAACCGCTGCCTGCCTGCATCTAATCGCCGAGGGCTGGAAAGTTCTCGTTATCTGAGGAAACCCTGGGGAAAGAGTCACACCAGGTGCTCTAGGAAGAGGAGTCTCATCCGCTATCTACGCGCTCCCCAGACCCCCGAGCTGGTCCCGGCCGCCCGGCCGCCCGGCCGCCGAGGCTCCTCCGGCAGCAGCCGCACCTACCGCAGCCCCGCCCCGGCGTCGGAGCCTGAGTTCGGCCCAAGTCCCCTCCGCCTCCCCCGTCCGGGACCCCGCTGCTCAGGCTGGAGCCGGTGACGGCGGAGGCCCCCGCGTCACCCCGCGGGCCGGGGTGGACCACCAGCCCGACGGGAGGAGTCCCCCCCACCTTAGACACGAGGAACCACGCGCCTCCACTCGCTCCCCGCCCCTGCGCCGGAGCCGCTCTGCACACGTACTTCCGGCCGGAAGTGACGACACACCACAGAGGCGGCAGCCCAGAGGGTCGCCCTGGGCTTTGAAACTGGGTCCTCCAAGGTCGTCTTAAAGGGGCCGAAGCCGGCGGGTGCTAGTCCGCGGCGATGGGGCACCTCTTTTCGACGCTAATCCAAGTTTTGGCATGTATCGGTGCTTCATTTCTGTTTGTGACTGAATAACATCCCACGCTAATAGACAGGGCTTTTAAGGTTATGTTCCAATCAAGAGGACTGCGGAAGCGCCAAATGCCCCACTCGGGGCAGATGGCGACTTGCTCGAGCTGCCCTGCCTGCCTTCTGCTTTCTTTCTGGCCTCCCCGGCAGAGATGGCCTGAGCAGCCAGGGCAGGAGCTGCACGTCTCCTGCATTTCCTAGGTAGGAAACTGGGGCCTGGCCTCCCCAGGCTCCTCGGTCCTCAGTGTCCAGTGCCGGCCTTCCGAGAGCGGAGCCCCCTCCGACCGCAGCCCCGGGGCGGCAGGGGGCTCGCCCGGAGCCACCGGAGCCACCTCACGGAGAAGGTGAAGCCCCAGCCTCTGGCACCTGGCCTCCCCTCTCAGAACCCTCAAGGAACATCCCGAAATAGTGTGGGGTCTTGCAGGAACAGGTGACAGAAACCCAACCCGACTTATGTTAAAAAGTGGACTTATTCGTTCATGTACCCGGGATGGAGCAGCTGCAGGGGCTCAGGAACCCCGCACGGGTGGGGTCAGGCCTCTGGGACTCCAGCTCCCCTCCGTCCTCTCCTCTCTAGCTGGTGTAGGGAGGGTGGGGGTGAGGAGCGGCACAGAGTGGACAGTTCCCAAAGGAAATCATCTGCATGGGTGAGGCCAGAGGGACAGTGGTATGGTGGATCTGGGATGAAAAGGACAATTGCTCCCATTGCTGTGCGTGCCCTAGTCCCTGGACCCTGTGAGTGTGTCACCTCACAGGGCAGAAGGGACTTTGCAGATGAGATGAAGCTAGGAACCCTGGGATGGGGAGATTGTCCTGGACTGTCCAGGTGGGCCCAATGTCATCACAAGGGTCCTTGTAAGATGGAAGCAGGAGAGTCAGAGACAGAGAGGAGACTTGACCCTGGAAGCTGCTGAACTTGAAAGTGGGGAAAAGGGGCCATGAGCCAAGGAATGCAGTGCCCTCTAGAAGCTGGAAAGAGCAAGGAAAGTCTTCTCCCTGGAGCCTCCAGCAAGAGTCAGCCCTGCAGACACCTTGATTTGTCACCTTTGGCTACAAGGGAGTTTGCAAAGTACAGCCTTTTTTTTTTTTTTTTTTAAAGATTTTATTTATTTATTTGAGAGAGAGAGAGAATGAGAGATAGAGAGCACGAGAGGGAAGAGGGTCAGAGGGAGGAGCAGACTCCCCGCTGAGCAGGGAGCCCGATGCGGGACTCGATCCTGGGACTCCAGGATCACGACCTGAGCCGAAGGCAGTCGCTTAACCAACTGAGCCACCCAGGCGCCCGCAAAGTACAGCCTTTTAACTAGGGGCTCCTGTTGCCGGAGGGACAGGGGCGGGGACTCTGGTCTCTGCCTCCGGTGCTGTGCAGGGTGTTTGGAGGCTCAAGGATGAAAGGGCCAGGTGACAGCTGGTGCTCAGGAAGCAATCCTTGGGGACATGGCAGATGCGCTTCTCTGTGTCTTTCTTTTCAAAATGTCCCCTCTGAATGCCGGGCACATTTATACCTGTAACAGGAACTCTGCAGATTGGCAGGGATTCACTGATTTGCGAGACCCACCGTCACTTTGATGTGTAACAAACGACCTCTTCGCCCGGTAGTGGCACGTCTTACGAGAGTCTGGTGGAGGGGTAGAAACAATGCCTGGGCTTGGAGTGCTGCCTAGTGGTTCGCGGAGTGCCTCCCGCTCATCTTAATGAGGACTCTATTGCTCTTCGGTCTAGTGGCTCAGAGAGGCCCAGGAGGACCTGGCTAAGCCCTGTCACCACTCTGAGTGGCTCTCGGTGTCCTTGCTCAGAGGCCAAGGACTGGAGCAAGCCCAGGGTTCAGCAGACAAGAGCTGTCTTCTGTACCCACCTTAGGAGACTTCCCTTTGGGGCCCAGGGAGTCCTGGGTATTGTTCTACTTTGAACCTGACACCCCCCCACCCCGCACACCCCCTTTCTGAGGAGGTGGGCATTCTGCCCTGGCTTTGCAGCTCTTCTCAGGCTGAAAACATGTTCTGGAGGCTGAGAGCAGATTTGCTCTGTGAAAGGAGCCAGTGGGAGCTGGGGCCCCCCCGTGTGCCCAGATTTATGCCCTTGCTGAGCAGATAAGGGCAGCCCCACAGCCCACCCATCTTGGGGTTACACATTTTCCTGCAGCAGCTGGTGCGTTAGTTTTAAACCTATTTATTTAGCCGGGCACTCCAAGGGCTTCTGATTACTGTCGCTCTGCGGGGCCGCTGGAACCAATTTCCTGAGGGTGATAGATTTCTTCTCATTTGCTGCTCTCAAGCTGTGGGATCCTTCTGGGTGTTGGAGGAAAACATTTTCAAAAGATGCCATCTTCCTGGACCATCCCCCAGGGTGGGGATGGAAGAGGGTTGTCCTGGGCTGCCCCCACTTGGTGCTTTCTGCACAAAAGTAGGCATGTTTCAGGACACCCCCACACCCCCAGAGGCACCATGGAAACCAGGCTGGGCCTGGGAGGGAGAGGAGAGGAGAGGAGAGGTGGGATGGGGAGGAGCAGGAGGGGTAAGTGGAGAGTGGGAGGGGAGGAGAGTGGAGCCGGCCAACTGCTCTTGCTTGGATGTCTTCAGAGTAGCAGTTCCTAACTTTGGAAGCACATCAGAAGCACCTAGGAGCTTTAAAGAGCCTGACACCAGGGACTTCCCCTGCACCCCCCCACCCCAAAATACTGATTTTATGGGTCTGGGGTGTGGCCTGGGAATCAAGATGTTTACAAGCTCCCCTTTCACGGGGTTGCCTGGGTGGCTCAGTTGTTAAGCATCTGCCTTCTGCTCAAGTCATGATCACAGGGTCCTGGGATAGAGCCCCGCATCGGGCTCCCTGCTCCTCCCTCTCCTTCTGCCTGCCGCTCCCCCTGCTTGTGCTCGCACTCTCTCTCTCTGTCAAATAAATAAATAAAATCTTAAAAAAATAAACAGTAAAAGCTCCTGGGTCATTCTACTGTGCTAGATTGAGGTGCTCTAAGGTGGTCTTGCAGGTGTGAACGGACCGACGTAGTCCCCTGCCCAGAGGGATTGTCCCCTTGAACATGGGCAGAAGGATATGAGCACACTTTCAATAGGGTGTGGGCATAGCCCCCTCCCCAGGGCTTGCCTGGCTCTGGAGGAGGGTGGGTGTACACGAGGCTACTTCACAGCTCCGAATGAGGGAGGGGGCAGTTAAGTTGTAGAAAACCGAAATAATTTTTGTCCATAACAATGCAAATGGATTTTGTCCCACAAAGATACAACTGGTGACTGTCCTCAGGAGAAAATGATGTCAAACATCCTGTGTTAGTGCCCCGTAAGACACTGAGCAGTGTGGCATCGATTAGCAAACCCATTCTAGCATTCCTGATTGCCGACATACATGGCTGATTTTCCCATTCTCTTTTCAACTGGTCTTAACATCTTCTTGGTTTCCTCATTAATTAGCAAGTTGGAAAAATTACTTCTACATATTCATTTTATATGTGATACTCATGTTTTTAACTTTTTTTGAAATTATAATTTAGCCCCCCTCAGAGAGAGTGCAGTGCCCCTCCTTCCTCTCCCTCAGCACCTTACCCGCTACCCCACTATGGCTCCATCCTATTACATGGTCTGTTTCTACCTGCTTGTCTCCCCGACTGCATCGGGCCCACGACCTGCATTTTGCCCTGCTGGTCAGATCCTATGATATTTGTATGCCCTGTACCTGACACAGTGTCGAGTGAAAGGTAGGCACTACGTGCACTCAGTATGTTCAGTACAACGTTGAACAGAAGTGGGGCCATCCTTGTCTTCCCAAGGGCTTTTTTTTTAAGATTTTTTTTTTTTAAAGATTTTATTTGTTCATTTGAGACACGGAGACACAGAGAGAGACAGCATGAGCAGGGGGGAGAGGCAGAGGGAGAGGGAGAAGCAGGCTCCCCGCTGAGCCAGGAGCTCAATATGGGGCTCGATCCCAGGACCCTGGGATCATGACCTGAGCCGAAGGCAGACGCTCAACCATCTGAGCCACCCAGGCGCCCCTTTTTAAGATTTTTTTAAAAGTAATCTCTACACCCAACATGGGGCTCAAACTCACAACCCAAGATGAACAGTGTATGCTCTACCAAAGAGCGAGCCAGGTGCCCCTTCCCTAGGGCTTTATTACAATTCTTCCTAAAATGTCACTATTAAATATATTAATGGTAGGCTTCTGATGAATCCTGTTTATCAGGTAGGAAGGTTACTTTTTTTTTAGATTTTATTTATTTGAGACAGAGGGCATAAAGGATAAAGGGGGGGAAGGGCAGAGGGAGAGGAAGAAGCAGACCCCCCAGTGAGCAGGGAGCCAACCTACTGCACAGGGTTCAATCCCAGGACTTTGGGATCATCACCTGATCCCAAGTCAGATGCTCAACCGACCGAATCACCCAGGTGCCCTAGAAAGTTACATTTTTTTCTTATTTTTTTTTAAAGATTTTATTTATTTATTTGACAGAAAGAGACACAGTGAGAGAGGGAACACATGCAGGGGGAGTAGGAGAGGGAGAAGCAGGCTTCCCGTGGAGCAGGGAGCCCGATGTGGAGCTCGATGCGGGTCTCAATGCGGGGCTTCATCCCAGGACCCTGGGATCATGACCTGAGCCAAAGGCAGACGCTTAATGACTGAGCCACCCAGGCACCCCAGAAAGTTACTTTTTAATTCTAGTTTGTTAGGGTATTTTAATCTCAAGAGTGACTATGATTTGTATTGGGTATTTTTTCTCAGACCATTA